TAAAGGTGATATTCTTGTCCTTTAATGACATTGAAATTCCAGTGTCATTAATAATTACTGTTGCGAGTAGGTCTCCTCATGGAATGCGATTAATTGCCCTACAAGTGCACTGTGCAACAATACCTTTCTTTTGTAACTAGCATCAGAAATTAAATGATATGCATTTGTGATACTTGGTCGTGGTTGATTTAATATCGAATTTAGTTTAGGAGAGATTTTACGTTGCATATTTTTGAGTAGGTAGGCATATTATAAGGATATTTAGTCCAGGTTATAGGTAGATTTTTTGACAAAAAAATTAGTTACCAGTTAAACCGGCTTTTTCATGCAGGTGAAATGATTAGAAATTAGGGAAAAATAATTAAAACAGCTGAATTTTTCCGCGGGTGTCATCCCGGGGTTTGAAAGGAGTGGGAGGTGGTAGTTACAAAAGGAACGGCATTGTCGCGCTTCCAGTGCAGATAATCGCATTCCATTAGGAGGCCCGAGTAATTAATAATGAGACATCAATTTCAATGTCAGTATAAAACGACAAAATCATCACATTTATTTTGTTAGAAGAAAATCTACTCGAAAAAATTAAAAGTAAAAGGTCATTATTTTAGCTAAACTATTTCCAAATTTAAAACGCACCAATTGAAAGAAATGTAAAAATTTCTATTGTATTAAACCAAGGATAGATTAAAGCAGCGCAGATCTTTTGAGCTAATAAATGCCATTCATTTTCATTCTACTAACTTATTTTTAGTTTGGCAAAGTGGGAATACCTGCTGAAAACGAACCGCATTAGATACCTACCTACCCTCCCACACCCGCAAATCCAACTTGAACTAGTCGGCTGGGATGTTGGTTGCCTATGCTACAGTGGTAGGTATCCGAGGGACATTACTTTTACAAGAGACTGTACATGTACTTTGAACAAATATAAAGGTCTAGCCTGTTCTAGAGGATGACAACAAATCGATATATTTCGCTTAGCGACTCACCTAAATAATAATTTCTGTTAATTCAATACAGGGTAACGCAAATCGTTGCATTCACACTGTTAAAACAGGTAAATAGGAATATTACACCCAAAACACATATAAAATTCACTTAAAACCTACCAAGTTGAATTATGAAAACGGCCCTACCTGCAGTGTTGCCATAATTGTGGGGTGTTTTTTTAAAGATGGCCCATAGAAAGTACACACCTAGCACAAAGCAATGTAAAGGCGTTGAGTTATTTAAAATGGGCCATAGGGACATTTACATTGCGCAAATTGTTCTCAAATCTTGGCCTTGCGCTTATTTATTTCAGTGACCGTTCTCAATCTCAATCCTTCAAACTACATCGACGAAGCAGCAACATATGTATTCCGCCGCTTGAAAAAGGTGTTCATGTAGCACAATTTGTACAAGAGTGGGCACAGTAGCTGACTGGTAATGCGAGCTATTCAGTGCAGAGTATCTGGTATTGTTTGGTTGTCAGTGGAAAACAATTCGAGCGCCGTTTGTAATCTTATACGTTTATATCTGATTTATTTGAATAAATTTGTTGATTTAGAAACAATGATCCATATGAATAAAAGGGAGCATAATGCTTATATGTGCAAAATTCAAAGTAAATACTCGTAAGTGCCCCTTTCCACTGGGCTGCTCTGCATTGCGTCCCGCCCCGTGGCTAAGCGGCACTGCTAAGTCGCCCAGTACGTGTGAGCGGGCACTTATGAGTATTTGCTTTGAATTTTGCAAGTATAAGCATATGCTCCCTTTTAAACATATGGACCAATATGACTACAGTACTGTCACTGTGGCAGATGAAGCTATGACTGAAACAATTGAATGCCTTTACATTGTCGTATGGCACACAATCTTAACCCGTCAGTGGTCGCTGTATGAGCAATTTGCTCACATTTTTTTTTAAATAATCATAATTATTTTCAAAGATTTAGTTTTGCGCCAAGTCTTCGTCTACCTGAGTTTTAGAACATCGTTTGTCACCCCTGACCCTCCCACACTGTAAAACTGGTCCGTTTAGATTTAGATTCAGTCATTGTTTATTTGTGAAAGCGTCAAGTGTGTGAGCATTTGCCTCATCGAGCGACCACTGCCGTTATACTTTTTTTTTGTAATCCGTACTGTATAAATGTTTATTTCGATTTGTAATAAAAAAAGCAATGTTCATCAGAATTAATTTATATTGATCGTTAATACAAATTGCAACATCATATCAAGTATACTGAATTATTTCATTTTGTCAAAATAATAAAAATTACATCATGAACAAAATGCTCACGCGCGACCGCTCGCGTAACATTTCATCTAGTGACTACTGACGGGTAAAAAAAAACACCCTGTAGATGTGTGCCCCAGGTGACAGGTCTACACACGCATCCCAGTTCGCTTCGGATAGTCGAAAAACAAGAGAGGTGAAAGCCACTTGCTGCTTATTTTCTCAAATACTAAATCATGGAGTCTACATAGTTCAATTGGCTAATTAGGGGCATCCCGGCTTCATTTTTTATTACTGATCTACAAAGTACATTAAAAATAAAAAGACCCGTGTGTCTTCAATTTTTATTTGCGAGTAAAAGAAAACCAAAAAATTATTTAAGAGCTGTGTTTTTAGTCCGAATTTGAAACGCTTCGGTCTAAATACGTCACTAACCTACAACCAATCACGTAGAAGTGAACCGGCAACCTTGTGCGAGGGTCTGACGTTTGTCGGATTTGACGTTTTGAGGCATCTAACCTTAAGGTGGGTTCATAGCTCTCCGTTCATCCGTTGCGTTGATCCGTCAAACGGATAGTACATTTTGTTAAGGTTCATAGCAATCCGTCCACATTGTACATTTGCAAGTATAACCATAACCTAAACTTTATTTTGTACTGTACCTTCCGTGATTTTCAGTATGTGAAAATGGTACGAAAGTAAGAACACATTGCTATCTGATTATTACCGTGAAGAACGAATAGGCGAACGCTGTTAACATACCAAACATAACCTCACTCTTGTTAAAAACGGACCAACGGAAACGTAAATGTTCAACTTCAACCAACTTTTCCGTCGTAAACGGATGACGTACGATTTAAAAATTTGCTGTCTTCTGATTGGCTAACGGACAAACGGAAACGTATGAACGGAGAGCTATGAACTTACCTTACTATGATCTAACGCGAAAGTGAATGACAAGTGACAACTGCCTGTGACAGGTGACGCAGGTTACAAATGACATTCTCCTGCAATATTGCCAAGTCGTGATGTCATCTGAATGGTTCTAGCAGCTGATTGGTCGGGCTTATTACGTCACAGAGATCGCCACAATCAATCAAGCTTATTAAATTAGAACTACGGAATACTCTAAACCCCCATTTGAGTACTTACCTAACTGGTTTTAGTAATAGGGATAATTCACATTTTTAGGTTTTGCTACAAATGGGTTCTACTCATTTTATTAATTCATATAGCATTTTTCAAAAAATCAAAAAAAATTATTAACTAATTTAAGAGGAAGTTTCTAATCGCTAACCGCGAGAGGGTAGAAAACGTACCCTGGAACGAGACTGCTCACTCTGACGTCAGTAGCGCGCTATGTAAGGTTGCTTATAATAAATGAATAGAAGTCGTTTAAAATTAAAATATTGCCATTCAATGTGCAAGTAAATGAATAAACAATGGTGCAAGATATACATCATCGCACCGCTAACGAAAAGATGAAAATTCAATTTTTTTCACGTTCGTTACAAGACGTTACGGTTTAATATTACTCCCCAATTTTTTTAAGTAATACCGATACTATGTAGATAAATGTTAACTATATGCTGTGGAATAAATTTATATACCTACCTAAGTATCGTTTGTTAATTCATAAGTTAATATTTTTGTAAATGAAGGGATCGTCTGCTATCCCGTCTGATTACTTTTAACTTACGAAAAACTTGCATTACGCTTTACGAACTATTTTTAGAAAGCTCATGTACCTAAACCTAATAATCACAACGAAGTGCGATCCTTACTTAATTACTTTAAATTTATGCAGTTTTGGTCACGTATACCTACGCCAGGGACGGTGTTGGGCCTACTTAAGTACTGAGTTAAGCCATGAGTATGGCCTGCAATAAACCTTAGTTTACGAAATGGGGAAGATATGAAACCTGCTAGCGATTATGTTAAGCTGACTTAAAAATTGCTCATGACAAAATACAAGGGCAACGGCCCCCGATAAAACATTTGTAACGCGGTTTCAAAAGATAGGTAGGTACTTATCCACAAAAAGAAAGAAAAATCGGTGTTAAGCTGCATGTTAGTTATTATCAGAGATATAAAAAAACGATGTATTCTATTGCCGTGAAGATCATTTTAGTCTAAGTTGTTACATGACTGTGAGCACTATGAGTAGTAATCTCACACCTTGGCACATCAATGTGTGGTAAATTATGCGCGTCGCCTCTCTGTAATTTCGGTTTCATGTTTATAAAACATAAGAATGTGTTAGAAACATCACTGGGTGGTCACAAAACCTATAAACAAAACCACTATTCCGAATATTAACGTTCCAGGCGCGATACATCTTTTAAGACATTTGGGGGTGAGGCTTGAAGCGCGCTTGTGACGTCACCCAATTAGAAAACGCTTTTGAACCGCGTCACGAAATTCAAAATTCTTTCCCTAATTTTGAGAAAACGCATCCTTGTTTTGAAAAAATTCTTTCATTTCCAAGCTTCCATATATTATATTAAAATTTATAGCACTTACATTTTTTGCATTCTCCCTTATTATTCCAGCTGCTGGAACCGTGTAAATCCCCCTTTAAGAACACGTGTACCAATTTTCAAAGCGATCGGACGTTTCTAAACAAAGTTATCGTACACAGGGACATACAGACAGATGTACCTATACAAAATTATAAACGATCTCGAGGATCGTTTTACATTGAGACCTTCACAGCAGTGTTCATTTTAAATCTCCCTCTTACGCATTTCTTCAGGATTGCCATAATGCCATTTGACCAACCAAAAAACAGTTACATTTCCCAAAATTCTTGAACTGTTACAAAAATAAATCTAGACCAGAAAACAAATCAATTATTTAAAATAAATCCGATTTTCGTTTTTACTTTATAAGGCATTTATCGATCTGAATGTTGCAAACGTATTGTTACGTTAACCTATTTATTTTATTTATATTAATTAGCATTTAGAAGTATATCATTTATGAACTCAAAGGAACAGAGCCCAATACAGGACGACGCTTCAAGGTAAAATCCAAAATACGGCACGCTAAACTTTGTAAGCCTTTATATCCATACTTTTATCAGTCTTACCAGAAAATTGCAGACAGTTTTCAAAGAACAGATGTAGAGGTTATGTTGGTTTTGCTGGTGTCATATCTGAATGTCATGATTGTATTTTTAAATCGCTTTTCTCTTTGTTAACTTTCCAAAGCAATATTCAGAGTTGTGTTGTAGTAAGGATGACTGTAGTTAATCTAGTATCCATAGGACAAACCAAGGGGCTTCGTCTAGTACAGATCAAAGTGACATCGACAGTACTGATAAAGAAATTAATAGTGAAGACAATATGAAACGTGCAGCATTTAGAAAACTGATCGAGAGATACTTCTACCAATTAACGGAAGGGTGCGGAAATCCCACGTGCAATAATAAATATTGTGCTTCAAGTGCAGAGGTAAGTAAAATTTTACGTTATTAGCGCAATCTTAACGGTGTTCTCTATTTAGTTTAAACCCCTCTCGGCAAATCAAGCAGCAGCTTTAGCAATAAATTTGTTTTCCCAAGAAGCACAATTGTGCGAGACACATCCGAGCAAAATGCCAAGAACACAAAGTAAATCTAAATTATCGGATAGCAATTTGGATACAAATATTAACAGTTCAAATACACCTAAGCCATCTTGTATTGTTTCCAACGATATTAGTTCTATTAATAATGAATGCAGTAGCAACAACAGTCTTAGGAACGGTAGGAAAAAGTGTAAGTAATTCTTTTTTCTTGTGTATTTAGTTTAAGTATATGGTCGATCGGTAATAGTTGTCCCCTTTTGGAGGTTTTTGCCCCAAGCAAGGCAATTAAGACCTCTAGAATGATAGGAAAACAGAGCGTTTAGCGATTTGAACAATCGTGCTGCTGTTACATATTCCATAAAATTAGATCTTGTAGCACAAAAACAAAAAAATAATCTGATGCCAACATGGGATTATTTTTGATCCAAATATTAATCATTTGATTGGCTCTATACTGGATGTGTTTAGACGATTGAATAAATCCAAAGACATTAACCAATCATGTTTCTTTACACCAGCATCAGGATTACATCAGAATCAAATTTGTTGGTGCAACCTGTCTCGCATCTTTGATTGGATATCAATTTTATGAAACTTTTGGAATGACACAGTAATGCAATGGAGCATTGACACAAACGCACAGTGTAAAATGATACTAATTTTGTCTGTAGAAGTACGAAGGGGTGCCTCACTGTGGAAAAAGTACACCCACACAGTAATACCAAAATCCCAATTTTTTACAACTTCCAAAGAATTCCAAGGCCGACGTGTGAGTTCTCGATACATCTACGTAATGACTATCACATTCCGCAAATGAATTCCATTTATGGCTAACAAGTTCCATACACTACCAACAATTTTCTCTGATTGCGTTATAATTGTTTAACAAGGCTTTGTTACTTATTTTGATAATTTATCTAATTATTATATCTGTAATTTGGTCATTAATGAGAGAATAAAAGCAATGGTCCAAGGATAGAACCCTGTGGAACATCAAGATTCAAATGTAACATTTTTTGATGTAAATCGATATTTTCTTTCTAGTTTATTGGTGCTATCACAATCACCAATTGGTAAACTCTACCATTTGTGACCTGTTACAAAGATATGATTCTCATGCGGTAAGAGCTGGATGTCTGAATTATTATTATTATATATATACACCATAAAACTTCAAAAGGTATCACTAATAATTGGTAGTATGCCCCCTGCAGTACTTCATGGACAATTTAGAGAAAGCATGATCCCTGCTCTCCTGCATCTATCGAGCCATCTATATTCTACTCTGTCCACTCATATATTTTAAACCCCTATGAATCGTGACACAGGGGAAGACACCAGACGTAATCATTTTTGAACCTCACTTCAGGTAAGTTTGTTTAATTGTTCGATTAATACCTTTGGTGATCTTAAGCCTCTTTTCGGAAGAGAGTTCTAGTCTCATTGACATGGGTGTCAAAAACAGATCCAAGGAAGCAAATCCTTTGACTAGTCCTGAAAGAGCTTTTTTCTTTATTTATACTAAATCCTAAGGACTGCAATAAGACTTTAATGAGACCCTAGTCTAATAATTCTCTTGACTTTCACTCAACAATAAAAAAATTCCCTCCTTTCGGAGCCACTCTATACCTGGTATTGTCAATTTTGTGAAAGTGAAAGGGGCTAAAGGCAACCCAAAGGGAACATAAGACAATTCATGTTGTAATGAACATTCCAAAGCGAGATCGGGGCGCCATCTGGTCGCCATAAAGTCGATAAAGGACTAGGAAGTGAATAAAATGGTCCAAGAATGTTTCTTGCTTAAAAAGTTTCAGCCCGAATTGCATGAATCAAAAACCATATTAAATGATATTAATTGGAGTTCCACACAAGTACATTTGGACTTATTTTTTTAGCTTCAGTTTCATATTTAACGGAGGAACGTCTATATGAAATTATCGATGAATGTGAAGAAACGCAAAATTATTCAAAACTTATTCACACGCTTGGTGAAGTGTATTCCAATATTGAGTCGCTTTCAAACAGTTTCCTTCAAACGGAAGTTAGTTCACCTACAGATGTTTCCGTGGACCACTCAACAGGTAATTGTGGGCTGTATACCTATTATATTTATTATTTCTATAAGTACTTTGCAGGTGATTTTAAGGGTCTTAAAAAGGAAGATGTTCGTTCCTTAGAAGGTGAGAAAGACAAAGATGAGGACTGTTGTATGGGATCTCCCAGTGACATTGAAAGTAAATCTTTGTTACCTGTTGATTTACCATCAGTTAGAAGAGCATATTCCGCATTGTTCAAAATACCAACGACCATTTTTGAGAATGCGCTAGTCAATGCTCTTGTTTCTTTGGCTGGAAGTTTACAAGTGGACTTGAAAGTAACTACAGAAACGGAAAAAGCTATTCATAGGCGCATAAATGTATTGCTTATCGTTTTTGAAATACCAGCTCTTGGTCTGTAGAATGAAGTTGACGAGTAGTATCAGTTGACAATGTCTTGCAGGGTCAGGTGACTTCTTGGAAACCGCTTTGCCCGCTCTCTGTCGGGCCGCTGGGTGTCTCTCAGTTGAAAGTCAAGCGAAGCTTGCTACAGTTTGGTCGAGTCAGGGCAGGTCTAGTCTTAGAATGATCTTAGAGAACCTTCAACAGTTAGTTACTCTGAGAGTAATTGTTACTCAATTTCATCACGATTTTTACGTTCAAGATGAGGATGTCGTGACATCGGCTACAAAAATTATGAAAGTATGAAAGCAATTTTTAAAAGATTATTTACTTATTCTTTTTTTTACAGATAGTATATTATGCCAATATATTAGCCGGAGTTTTAGAATCACCAGATCTGCGACACGATGATTATTCTTCATTTATGGAAGATTCCTATCTGGGAATTAAGCCAAGCAGATCGATGCCTGTTTCAGATCTACTAGGTAAAACCTAACTAAAAAAAAAGAAATCGGTACAGCTTTCTGTATGCTACTTTTATAGACGTGAATGTGTAGCGAAAATATGAGGTAGGTTTTGTTCGGTGACTATGGGGGTCTAAACAATAAGCTTATTGCGAGTTCTTTCTTGTGATTATAAAAAAAAGAGTAATCTAAGTAAAACAGGCTAACAACTAAAGCTGAGATCTATTCTTTTTTTTCTACAAAGCACTTCTGAACGGAAGTAGTCTTGTAAAGTAAAACAAGATACGAAGAATCGCATTCATATTCAGAAACCAGATTTTTTATCCCTCTCATATTCAATAACACTGATCCTTGGACTTGTAGAAATCGATTGGCGAAGGTTTGATATCGCTCTCTTTTCGCTCTCGAAAAATTTTTTTTTTTTTCGAAAAATTCCCCTAAATATTGACTCAAAAAGAAATATCTCAATGGATTCACTAGGGTGAACATTTTTATACGAGTATTTATGTATGACACTAAAATGGCATTATATGTAAAAATGCCAAATGAATCTCAAATATTTTCCTAAAAGTGGCAATAATACCAGATGAATCCCAAAAATTCTAAGATGAATGCAGAACATGCCCCATAAATGCCAAAAATGACAAAAAATGCCAAAAGTGCCACATCAATGCCAAGAATTCTAATAAACCTAAACCTGTGTCTACACCTAAGATATAGTAATACAAATGATAATATGAAACTCATTTAGCAACTCATTTAACTGTTAACGTTCAAAAAATTGAAGAAAGATATAAAAGGGCACGGAAATGCAAATAATTTTTTATGATCTGTAAAAAACCAACTTTTGTAGTATAAACAAATTAATTTTCAAAACTAATTAGTAATTTTTGTATACTCTTACCAGCTCTGGAATTGGGAGTCAATATCCTTGATTGTCGAACACCATGTCTTCCATTCACCGAATTTTACAACGAACCATTAAGCGACGTTGTAGAAATGGATAGGGATTTTGCAAATTATAAAAGCGAGTCTGGTAAGTAATCATTACCGCAATAGATGTTTGAGGGAAACTAAAAATAATGTTAATTACAGGAAAATTTAGCTTTATGAACTACGCCTTTATTCTTACTCCTGCTACCAAAACGCTCGGATTATATTTTGACAACAGGGTTCGAATGTATTCAGAACGGCGAATTAGTTTTATCCAAAGTGTGTCTGGACAACCGTCTAATCCATATTTACGATTACGGGTTCGAAGAGATCACATAATTGATGACGCCTTAGTGGAGGTGTGTAAGTAGTTATTAAGAGATTAAATACAACACATTCAAACAAGTATATCACCTTGCCTATGTAATGTAATACACATACAATGCTTTCGATTATATTGAACAGTTTGGCATTATTCCATAAATAGTAATAACGCCATTATACAATAAACAAATAACTATATCAAAACAAAAAATTTAAAATAGTTCATCAATAAGTAGGTAAATTGCTCCATCCAATCTGTGACAATGCTTATTTCTAACATTTGATTGTATTGAGATTCGAGATGATAGACACAATACAGATTTATTACAATGTTTTTAAGTTATGTCCGTGGAATCTGTGTAAAAGTGAATTGACAGTTACTATGTATGTAAAAGTTTGACCCTAAATCTAAAAGGTTACTTCAATTAAAAAGGCGCCAAAACCTGTATTTTTAAAGCAGGTTTATAAGGATTTTTTAATATAAAATAAAGATGATGATAGCTTTCCACATTTTAATTATCGTCTTGTTGGAAAGCTTTTTCTGGAATTCAAGTTGCCAAATAATTTTTAGAGATCCCACAGAACATACAAAAATAAAATAAACAATTCTACAAAACAAGCAAAAACAAAGTTTTTGATCTAAAACCGCCTGTACAAATGCGGCAAATGACGAAAAAAACACTTCACAGAATTATTTTAACGTAAACCGGGACGTAAACGCACAACTGTGTACACAAACTTTCTTCTTTCTTATCTTGCATCACCAGCAGGGATTCCAAGACGATTGAATTAGTTGAAAATGGCAGCTCGGGTACAAACTTTAACATTGACAAAAACTACTCTTCTATGACTTGTAACTACACGCGGACTCACTGACTGTACAAAAATCGGAAAAGTAACTCTTGTAACAACTCTTCTTCAATTTTAACTGACAAATAACAGAAAATTTCAAAACATCGGCCGACCGCCAGAAAAATCGTATGAAAATTTACATGCAACTGACTGTTACATACGCTAAGTCAAATGACGCGAAACCGCCTCGTTAGATTGGTGCGGCAACATTTTAAGTACTCACGACTTCCATTGTGTTTGTTACCTTCGGTAGAGGTCGACCAAAAGCAAGCACTTGTTTATACTGCATTTCCTTATCTCTAAATCTCACACCTGTGCCATCGCTTATCTTATTCCATTAAATTTTACTTTGATAAAGTCCCTAATTTTAGTAGACTCAATAGATTCTTTACCCACATGTTCTTAACTTCTGCGTCTTAAATTACAAACAAGAACGGTAGCAAACCGTTGTCAAATTTGACCTTTTGCCCTTTTCGAGTAAGCTCTTCCGACTATCCGTTCTGGAGATATAAGGGAATATATCACTATGGTTGGTAGAAATTAAGAGCGCGCTGCCAGAGTGGTGGGGGAGCTTATTGCCTTTAGTTTATATTGTTACCATTTCAAAATCAGACGGATAACGGCAGATGGCGTTAATGTTGTCTGAAAGCACTGTTAAGTATCTTGTTTTTATCTCGAAAATTCGCCGCGTCCTTCGGAAACTTTCGGAGACTTTCGCTATATTTACAACAAGCACGTACTTTTGTAGTCAGGATATAAATAAAGAAAACAAGATTATGCTAGTTGGTGCATGACGTCACGCAGTACTTTAAAATCGGGATTCTGAATTTGTGTTTTTATGATTTAGGTGAAAAAAATTTATAGAACATAACGCAAAATATGCCAAAAAATTTGAAGAAATCGTTAGACCACCTTTAAAAATGCTATAAACTATAATTGAGTGCACTATAACAAGAGGAAGTGCAAGCGTTTTTCAAAATATGGTAGATACCTACTTATGCTAAAAGCATCTAAAAATTTTGGAGTAGATTACTACATAAAATCTAGCATAAAATATTGATTTACGTACGTACACAAGTTATAATTAATTGGATGAAAAATGGATTCGATATATTCTTTTCAATAGTAGACTTTACACTGGTTTGTAATTACATCCCTACTTCTAAAATGAACTATTTTTAAAGGAAAAAAGCACGAAATAAAAATTGCACGCCAAGAAACAATTTGCTAAGCTATGTGTACCTACCATAAACCTGCGAAATCCTAAAGCACAGTTATTTTTAGAACAAAGGGCTACTGTGTATTGTCATATTGTGTTGGTGTTATTCACAAGCTCCGACCTTGTGTGGGTGTTGATTGTGATGCGATTTCTTTGACTGTCTACCTTATAGTTAGGGTTGCCAGATATGTTCGAAAAAAAACCGGACAACTTTTTAATTTTTTTCCTAAATTGATAAATATTGCAAAAAATGACAAAAATGCTTACAAGTTACAATTTACTTTTGCATATATTTAGCATTTGATGACACTGATGCTTTTAACAAAGGTTTATTAGATGAAATGGCATCTTTGAACTCGGTGCAACTAGCACTTATATTGAAAAAAACGCACAATTCACTTTTTACGGTGTTGACAGCGAGACGATTCCTTTCGTTAGTCCATACATTTCCCATGACGCTAAAGATCCGTTCCACAAAAGCGATGGGTACAGGAACACTACCGACAAACTGCAAAAGTTTCAGCAAATTAGCAATGGCAATCGTACATAAAATGCTACTTGTTGTGTTGTTTGTCGGATGGCCGTCAGATATAACTCAAAATTTCTTTAAAAACTGGACATTCTTTTGTCCGGTTTACTCAAACTTTTTTAACCGGACAAACTTAAAGAAATCCGGACTGTCCGGTCCAAAACCGGACATCTGGCAACCCTACTTATAGTCCAGGAGGCAGCGAAATTTTTTATGCACTCATTTGTATAAAGTTGATATTCTGCTATTTTGATAGTACGAGTAAACACAAAGTCTACCACTCACGCAAGATGCATAAAATTTATTCAATTGAACTTATTTCTACAAAGATGAAATTTTTGTTTCAAAAAGTTAATGTCATTTCAGACACAAAAAAAATTGCTCTACCGATCGCCGATTTAAAATACTTTAGAAAGAAATGTGGCGTTTGCTTTTTTGGGACGCCCACCATCCCTACTGACAGGGACGAACCGTAAGGCACCCCCTCACATATCGTATTTAGCATAATATGGAACCGACTTGGGACTGGGAAATATCACACTAAATTACTAAGTAAATTGTGGAACATAAGAAGTTTATTTTCATAATATCGCGTGCAGTGGGATGTCATATCATATTTAATTGCTCTCATTGCGAACTATTAGATTTCGCATTGAATGCATACCTATCTCGTTGAGAAATGAATGAAGGATTAAGCAGCAATGCCGACTTCCTACATCATAGCAGTGGTCATGTATTTAAATTCAAATGAGAACCCGCCATGTTTCTCCGCCATCTACAGGCGAACCACTGCACTTACGTTTCGCTTTCGATCTAAATATGGTGGAAAACACCACTTCATTATAAAGTGACCCTCACTTTATAATGAAGAATTTTCGTACAAATTTCCTTTAATTGACCTTAAAATCACTTGAAACTTATGTGTTATCTTTGTAATGACCCCAAGAAGGCAATGACGAAAATTCATGGAGATTTGATTTCATAAAAAATTAAAATTGCCCATTTTCAAAAATGTTATTAACCTATTTATAGCGAATGTAGATCGATGAAAATTCGTTACCTCCTGCGCTGGTCCTTGCTGATTAATATAAAAAAAAATTGGGCCGATACCACAAACGGTTTTTAAAAATTGTACAAAAATCTAAAGGCATGTTTTAAGTGTGTTTTCTACGCTGATCCCCACCACTCCGGCAGCGCGCTCTTAATTCCTTTCGTTGAGACCTTTCATTGGAGTACCATGAAAGATAAAATCAGTTCCACTGCCCCCCCCTCCAACCCCCTCTTTTATAGAAAATGGTTCCTTTCGTTGAGACCTTTAATGCATAAAGGGTAGAACGTGTGTTTACTCTCATTTAAAAAAATGCGCTAAAAAGTAACAAAAACTTTTTTACTGAGAGTTAGGTTGCTGTCTTCGTTTTTTTTTAAATTGTGGAGTGTACAAAACTTGATAGTCCGAATTAGCAACATAGGTATTTATTTAAAATATCATAATTTTTCAATGAGGCATAAATGATTAAAATGGAATAAGTGTATCATAGTTTTAAAATTAGTCTCTCCCCTAGAAAGATCGGAGGGTGTTACTGTTCTAAAATCGAAGTATCCGTGGGATCGACTTTCAAACAGGGGTCAAACTTTTACAAGTGTGGTACCTTTTTCATGCGTACTATTAGGTATACTTTTAGCTTTCAATTTTCATAATTATTAATTATGCTTTCCTAGATACTCTAGTACTAGCGGTATACCAAAAGATACTGCATTTTCTTATACCAAGGTGCCACTTGGTACAGCTGTTCCTTAGAGCCATTTAGACGATTTGGCCCGAAGAACACGTGACATTTTCCGTGTGGGTAGATTTTAGAGGGGGTGGGGGTGCTTTATTGTAACATTTTTTAAAAAACTAAATATGGCCTAGAGACGAGATCTGGGTGTCGATTTCGTATGATTTTAACCCAAGGAATCCAATGGTAGCGCAAGAAATGTAATCCGGATACAGGAAGTCCGTGAAAAGCCGCCATTTTTAGAAAATGACACACTTTTGATCGAATTATATTTCTAAGGCACACCGGGTCGTGTAAGGTTTCTAGAGTTATGTTTTTGGGGTCAGGGAATTCATTTATGATAACAAAAATAACCTACTGGCATCGGAACTGCATGAGAGGCTTCCCTACTGCACTTTTTGAAGACGTCGCACGCGGTGAAACCCAAGATATTCCAAAGTTTTAATACCTATATAAATTTGTAATATTTTATTTCATAAAAATACACATTAACAAATCATAAAATATATTAAAACATGGGGTAAAAAATGTATAAGCCTATGAAGGATCACCAAGTACATCGCTGACCTCCTCTGAGATTGCGTTATCACCACTGAAAAGGAATTTCACATACCTACCGGGTGAATATTTTAAAACCGAACGTAGGAAATTAACATGCGAAAAACGTGTTTTGCCGATTGTTGCTCCCCATGTTAACTTAGACGGTTTGTAATGACACCAATCAAAAGAAGATTTTTTTTTCATCTAATGATATACGAATTAGCTTATTTTCAGGTGTATTTCTCATTATTTTATCAAAAATTCGACAATAAATCCAATTATCAGAATCATGTTAAGCCATGGAAATTTCCTATCGAATTGAAATAGGTTTTCACATGCACGGAAAACAAATATCGCGTACTAGAGTAAATATTTCCTCTGTAAACGTTTATTATAAATACTTTTTCCTCAGTGAACCGCATTTTACAAAAAAATTAATGACAGGTGTCATAAACTGATATTGATTTCGCCGTTTGAATCTGCTTTTTGTCTTAGTCATGGCTAAACATGACTTTGGTAAGTGGATTTCTCGAGTGCTTGATAATATAGTGAGAAATACACCTGAAAATGAACTAATTCGTATATCATTAGACGAGGAAAAAAATCTTCTTTCGATTGGTGTCATGATCAACCCTCTAAGTTAGCATGGGGAGCAACTATCTACAAAAATCCCTTTTCCCATGTTAATTCCCTATGTTCGTTTTGGGAATATTCACTCGGTATAAATATGAAAGGTTCGGTAGTAAATTAGGTATATCCGAAAGTATACAATATTCTAACTCTTTGTTTGAGCAATCTCCCATACCTTTTTGGCATGCAGGGGAACATGGCAATCCGTGTCGCCGGCAGCTGCACCGAAGGGTCTCGCAGCCTGTCGCGTAGCCACACACATGTTCAGAGCACGGACTGCCTTCCATACTTGTGGCAGCTTGGACTACAGAACCTTCCTGCCTTTGGCTTCAAGAATCCATCCCCATCCTTCTGGACTTGTAGAGCTTCTCATGACCTGGTTTGCACATCCCCAGATATGGCCAGCGACATACGCCGCCCTCCTTATGTGCTCCTCCAACTCGTGCTGCGGCGACACGGATTACCATGTTCCCCTGCATGCCAAAAATGTATGAGAGATTGCTCAAACAAAGGGTAAGAATATTGTATACTTACGATATAATTTACTACTGAACCTTTAATATTTATATGTAAAATTCCTTTTCAGTGGTGATAACGCAATCTCAGAGGAGGTCAGCGATGTACTTGGTGATTCTTCATAGGATTATACATTTTTTACCCCATGTTTTAATATATCTTATGTCTTGTTAATGTGTAATTTTATTAAACAAAATAATATAAGTTTATATATCACAACTTTGGAATATCTTGGGTTTCACCGCGCGCGATGTCTTCAAAAAGTGCAGTAGGGAAGCCTCTTATGCAGTTCCGATGCCAGTAGGTTATATTTGTTATCAAAAATGAATTCCCTGACCCCAAAAACATAAGTCTAGACACCTTACATGACCCGGTGTGCCTTAAAAATATAATTCGATCAAAAGTCTCCCATTTTCTAAAAATGGCGGCTTTTCACTGACTTGCGGTATCCGGATTACATTTCTGGCGCTACCATTGAATTCCTCGGGTTAAAATCATACGAAATCGACACCCAGATCTCGTCTCTAGGCCATATTTAGTTCTTAAAAAAATGTTACAATAAAGCACCCCCACCCCCTCTAAAATCAACCCACACGGAAAATGTCACGTGTTCTTCGGGCCAAATCGTTTAAATAGCTCTAAGGAACAACTGTACCAAGTGGCACCTTGGTATAAAAAAATGCAGTATCTTTCAAGAATTTCCGTTATACCGCTAGTACTACTCCATTCCCCCAATGTATTACATAAATGAGTCATGCATAAACCTGTTTCTCTATGTATCCCTTGGAAGCGTTGAATGATAGTCACGGGTAGATTTAAAATTGACTTGTTTAATTCGAAAGCAACATGTTAAAAATGATGTCAGATTTCTTTTCTTACGTTAATTATTGTTTATTATTGCAGCTTGAAATGATCGCCATGGAGAACCCGGTCGATTTGAAAAAGCAGCTAGTCGTCGAGTTTGAGGGCGAACAAGGAATAGACGAGGGCGGCGTCTCTAAAGAATTTTTTCAACTAGTCATAGACGAAATTTTTAACCCTGATTATGCGATGTTTACCTACCAAAATGAGAGCCAAACTGTCTGGTTTAATCCAACTTGTTTCGAAAGCGATGCTCAATTTACATTAGTTGGGATAGTTCTTGGCCTTGCAATCTACAATAATATTATTTTGGCTGTTAATTTTCCAATGGTTATCTATAGGAAGCTTATGGGGAAGCGAGGGTCCTTTGAGGATTTGCTTGACTGGAACCCTGTTAGTACGATAACTTGTTACGCAACTTTAAAATGAATCTGTTTCAATTTTAGACCCTATACAATAGTTTAAAGCAAATGTTGACATACACGGAACCTGATCTCGAAGAAGTGTTCATGCAAACCTTTAGAATTAGTTATACAGACGTATTTGGAACGATGATACATCATGACTTGAAAGAAGACGGCGATAACGTCAATGTAACACAGGAAAACAAACATGTATGTTAATGTGGTTGGTGGCAATGTTAGTAAATTTGCTTTCTAGGAATTTATAGACTTATACGCAGACTTTTTACTAAATAAATCTGTAGAAAAACAATTCCGTGCCTTCTATAGAGGCTTCCAGATGGTAACTGACGAATCTCCGTTGGAATTGTTGTTCCGTCCTGAAGAAATAGAATTACTCATTTGTGGAAGCAAGGTAAGTCGATTTTGTTCAAATCTGAGTTTAATTGACGGCAAAATTTATTTTCTAGAATTTTGATTTTGATGCATTAGAAGGTTCTACAGAGTACGACGGTGGGTACACAAACGAGTCTCAAGTCATAAAAGATTTTTGGTCGATTGTGCATTCGCTGTCGTTGGAGGACAAAAGAAAATTACTTCAGTTCACTACCGGCTCTGACAGAGTACCGTTGGGTGGATTGAGTAAACTAAAATTAGTAATTGCCAGGAACGGTCCCGATTCGGACAGACTTCCTACGGCACATACTTGCTTTAATGTTCTACTTCTGCCAGAATACGCATCAAAAGAGAAACTTAAAGATCGACTCGTTAAAGCGATTAATTATTCTAAAGGTTTTGGGATGTTATAAATGTTTGTGATGTGATTTTCTATTCTCAAAGTTAATTGTACAATTGTACTCTATATAGTGATCGCAAATTTGCTACTAACAATGAAGAGAAATAAGAACTTTTAGTTATATTTATGGTCCTTTTGATTGTACATATTTGCATTAAATAATTGATAATTCGTAGGTACTACATTTTTAACGTGATGTAGTTATGTGTGAAAAATTACACAAGATACAAAGTAGTTACCAGTTCTTAATTTATGTTATTTAGTTTTAAGGGGCGGTTGTCCCACAATAGCTTACTTAATCCCTCGCTTAATCCCCTAATGAAGAAATGTGATTGGATAATTTTTGAATCTTAACCAATCAAGTTTTTTCACTATATCAATAAACTAAACAGGTTGTTCTATTGTGCTTGAGCAGCAAATAATCATTTGTCTCCAGGGTAAATAAATCGGCAGACTGCAGACTACTTTTGGTAAATTTAGGAGACAGATAGAAAACAATGGATGATTTGGAATGTTTTTAGCAAGAAAAGACATGTACTTCGTACATGAAAATTCGAGTGAAAATTTGTATCAGGTATCAGTATACATTAGGTATTTTATGGCTGTGTGTACAAATTTAAGCGGAGCTTAGCTAAAATCCATGGCAACATCCATTGAATTTATCCTATCAAATCTTGCAAATTTTCTTTGAAACTTTTTTCGATGTCTCTCTTTATTACTAAAATATTTGAACTTTTCAAAAATGGCGATTTTCACAATTATCTACGAAACAATATATATTTTTTTCAAAATATCGCATCGGAATATTCATTACTATCAAAAACTACACAACTTTGCCAATTTAACCCAATTCAACCCAATGCGTTATCCTACTCAATTTAAGACATCCTGTATTAAATCATATTTCTCAAATTTTTGAAATGACCGTATAAGCTTCAAGCCATTTTTATTGATTGGTCTCGGCTTCCTTAGATACTGTGGATGCAATAAACAAAACATTCTTCATGAATCCACGACCTACTATTTACAAATCGTAAAAATAAGGTTTTTATTTTTGGTTAATGGTCAAAATTTAAAAAAATATAGGTTGTGATGCATTCAGGAAAAAGAATGCAAACAAATTTACGTAAAGATATACAGGATGTTGCATTTAAAAAGTGCCAAATTTGGGTCAAATCTCAGAGAAGATGGGCAACAAATTTTTTGCCTACTTAAAAATATCTAACATATATGCGGTTTACCTTACATGAGTAGTAAGATTGATAACATCCCAAATAATTAAACTTTTCGTTCTCACCCTATATTTCAGAAACAAATGTAGCTAGATTGATTCTGTTTGTAGTTTGTTCATTGAACTATATACTCTGTAACTGAAACGGCATCGCCCGTAATCAGCCATTGCCAGGGGCCGTGGCGAATTTTTGTGAGAGAGAGATGGGTAGAGGTAGGTATCCCTTACCTTGTTTAACTCATGTGGGCTTATGGGATGGTTTATACTACGTCTTACATTTTGCTTATTTTTGTCTAAATTAAGTTATTAAGAGATTTGCAAGAATGGTCATGAATTGTGTTGCATATACGTGCAATCATTTTCATAATAAAAATTGAAATATTCAATTTCATGGGTACGTGTTGATAACATTTTTCAACCTCGACGCGCGCATTTAATATTTTTGCGCATGACGGCATTTGCACCGCTCAGATTTCTTTACTAATGTACCTCACACTCATTTTATTCTTAAAAAAATTCTTTTTTAAATTTTATTTTTTATTGATAATTTACATGGTGGTTAAAATACTAGTCTATAGCCACATAAACAGACCCATAATTCCCGCTGTCATAACAACGGGAATTATAAAATCTAATTCCCTGTCAGAACAATAGGACTACTTTGACAATTAATTGACATTTACGGTAAAGTCAAACACAACTGTTTGCTGTCAATCGTGTAATATAAGTCAAAACCTACAGAAGGAACGAGAATGACATTTCATAGGTGGTAACCATGTTATATTTCTTAAAATGGTCTTCTTTTACGATACTTAACTTCATTCATTTGGTAGGTTGTGATACAGATCCATTGTCGTAGCAATTGTGTGTAAAACAATATTTTGAAATACACATAGGTACTTTTCAGATTTCCCTCAGACAGCGAATGGCGAATCTTAGACTTCTTGGGCTAAAATTCCTGATTCTTATTTTTAAAAACGTTTTCAATTGCCCATAACTATAATCCAAAAAAACGTCTTAGTATTGTTCAAATTCGACTAATAATGTGTATAAATAATACCTTGAAATATCTAGATTCTCTCGCACACGCAGCATGGATCTAAGCATGGAGTAGTAGGTCCACAAACACGACGGTTTTCAATGCTTAGATCGATCACTAAAATACGCCAAAAGAATTTTTTCGTTCACAATCTTCGATTTTACCGATCGCAATTTACAAAACTTGGAGTACCTATTCGTTTTCATATAATGTTTTTGAAGTCGCCGGCACTAACTCCTTAAAAGCGTCTTCAGCTTCTTTTATTCCCCCCATGGGAACATCGTCATCTTCATTCCCTTCCAACATTTTCCGTTCTTAAACAAAGCCAAACGACACAAAAATTGCTTTCAAAATTACGGACGCAGCATTTTTTGTTGTTTATATACGTAACTAGGTAACCATGGCAGTCGCAGCCAACCTCATATGCAACAACGCGAATCAGATGTGAAATTTTTATTTGCAAATTAATTTACTTTTCAACAGTAATTCTACTATTATCAATAAAAAATAAAACGTAGAATGTACCACGGGATAAAACGGAGTATAATTCCCCTCGGGGAACGCAATACCCTCGCGACTACGTCGCTCGGAGTATTACTGTTCCCTCAGGGAATTATACTCTTGTTTTATCCCTTAATACATTATCTACTATAAGTTTACCTCGACGCCAATTGTAATATATTAGGTACCTACCTCCTTGCTAATATATTATGTAAAGGGTACGTTACAAACGAACACAACGAATGTTTCTAACTTTGTTTTACGTTAATAAGCAAATGGAATGCGTTGAGCCACCATGAATGACATTATTGACATTATACTTTTGTAACTTCAAGATTCAAGAATCAAGTATGTGAGTGTGTGAGTGAGAAATGGCGCAGTTTACCACATTGGCCCGTATGAATAAAAATAAGCAAATGCTTATACTTGCAAAATTCAAAGTAAATACTCGTAACTGCCCCTTCATGCTGGTCTGTTTAGCAGCACTGCACTGCGTCCTGTCCTGCTGCTAAGCAGCGCTGCTAAGTCGCCCAGTGGGAAGGAGCACTTACGAGTATTTACTTTGAATTTTGCAAGTATAAGCATTTGCTTACTTTTATTCATACGGGCCATTATTAAGAATATATTTTAAGATATTCCATTAACAAATAGATATTGGCACTTGTAAAAGCACCGACAAGCATTTATCTTTATCTTTCTAAGGCCCCAACCTCCCAGTTTATTTACTTATCTGTATTTTTAACCAAATACGTGTGATCGGTCCTACATATGCACTACAAAACAACGTGCCAGACAAGGATGAGAATACCTACGTTACGCTGGTTGCCTAAAATCATTGCGGCACACGATTTTGGCGCTCGATGCCGTTCCAGTTACAGAGTATATAGTTCAATGAGTTTGTTGTATTAAAAGTTTTACAAAAACGTGGCACAGGGTCGCGAAACTCGCAAATCTACGATAAAATTATGTTATTGTTCAGATTTCAACGAGCCCTACTATTTTTATTAATAAAATCCATTTTCGGGTTTACTCTCGTCTAAATTTACTATTTTTAGTTGCTCGAGGTTTCGGAAACTTACCTTTGTTCCCTTTCTCAAGAGAAGCGCTACGTCACATCATCATCCATGCCAAATAAACGCAGTAATAAAATCTTTAGAAAATAGATCTTTTCGTCTTACTGACGATTGCTCAAAAAAAGAAGCACTTCAAAAACTTGAACAAAATGTTGCATCAAAATGGCTACTCTTTAGATAAAATAAAGAAGACAATCAAAGGGTGTAATCATGGCCTATGTATCGGTATCTGATTGATGGTTACAGAGGACCAGTCACAAAAAAACAGAAAAAGCTAAGAACACTTCAAAATTAGATATACAGTTTCAATTGATTGACATTTACGAAATTTAACAAAAAACTCTTGATAAAGGTAGCAAAGAAACTCGAGTAACTATTAATAGTCACTTTACACGAGAATAAACCGGAAAATGGATTTTATTAATAAAACTCGATAAGATAACTATCCCTGTCGATAACTATCGATACGTCGAATATTTCTCTCAAATGAGGCGTGCAAGTACCGCTTAATTACAGCGGTAATTGTATTGTAGAAAGCTAAAGAGCCCTGCGATAATTGCACAGTTAATATGGTAACTCCATTAAAGTTGCAAGAACTGCATTCGGTTATTTTCATATTTTGTTAAAAGAGCCCTCTTGTCTTGTCGGGCTCTTTCGCCAAAATATAAAAGTAAACTCATGCAGTTTTTAGACACGCTTTCAAAAAAATTATCGGTAATTTTATATCGATACCTATATATTAAAAACTAGCGCCATAACGAGAACTATCGATATACCGATGCTTATCGATATAGCGACAGTTATCGATCTTTCGATAGTTATCGGTGTATCGATAACCATCGATATTTCGATAATTATCGGCATATCGATAGGTAAGTACCCGATACTTATATCGATAGGTGAAAATAGTTATCGCCCATCCCTAGCGATAACTATCGACATATCGATAACTATGGACATATCGATACCTATCGATAGTATTCATATATCGATAAGTATCGATATATCGATAACTATCGATATATCGATAACTATCGATATATCGATAACTATCGAAATATCGATAACTATCGATAACGACATATCGATAACTATCGACATATCGATAACTATCGACATATCGATAACTATCGATAACAATCGATATTTCGATAGTTATCGATATTTCGATAATTATCGGCATATCGATAAGTAAAATATATCGATAGGTAAGTAACCGATACTTATTGATAGGTGAAAACAGTTATCGCCCATCCCTAGTTATAACATAATCTAGGTAAACCGTACAAATTAATACTAGATAAACTGTACAATTATATGTGTATTTGAAATATGTGTAGGGGTGTCCAACAACATCCATCCACAAAAAACAAGGTTTATGAAAAAGAACTTTCTTCAAGCCCCAATACATAGCAAAACAAGGAAGCCCCCCTTCCCCCAGAAGCTGCATCTTGCCGATCAATTATACACTACTTATCCAAACTGTTAGAAAAGTTAATATTAAAACGCCTTAAGCAATTCATAATTCAAAAATAGCAGAAAGTGACCAAGAAGAGAAATGAATCTGCTTAGCAGTATTGCTAGATATCAAACAGGAATTCGACACTGTGTGCCACATTGGTCTGTTACACAAAATCAAAACACATCTTCCTCATCAATACTATCTGATTTTAAAACTTACCCTTCGGAATGATACTTCCAAGTTAAGTAAGAAGAGGAGCTCTGGAAATACTAGTTAACACAAGCCAAGGTAGCATTTTCGGACCAACACTGTGTCAGCTCTATACTGTGGACATACCCACCGTAGAAAATACAGCAACTACCACATTCGCAGACGATACGGCCATATTGGTATCGCATAGAGACCCTGTGGAGACACCTAATAGGTTACAAAGCTCCTTGAATCAAATAAACATCTGCACTGACAAGTGGAGAGTTAAAATAAAGAAAACCGAGCCAACTCGTGTAACATTCGCATTGCGACATATTGACAGTCCAAAATAATTCCAAAACCGGAAAAAGTTAAATATCTAGGCGCTTGACATTGAAAACCATATCATTGTTAAACGAAATCAATGTAAAATTGAACAGGATGTCCTGGTTACTGGGAAGAAGTCTCCATTAATAACAAGCTACTGCTGTACAAAGTAATAATCATCCCATTATGGACATACGGAAAGATGGAGCCAAAATTTCAATGTCGGTACTCACAAAAGCAAAGTGAACCATTCAACAGTACCTCATTGGACCTGGTCGGAGTGCTGGAAACGGAGATATGATGCATTTTAGAGAAATAGTGATGCTTACACTTTGGGTGTTCTTCCTTTTGTATGCCTAGTGAATTTTTATGTAGATGAGCAAAATTGAAAACCCTAGTTCATCCATTACTTCATTTGTGGAGATGATCAATTTATCGTTTAGATAAATACCACTTACTACATATGAAGCAAAAATGAGAATTACCAAATCTGATCTTTTAAAATAAATTGCTGATACACTTTTGGTAATTTATTGAGATTATTAGAAAACAGAAACCTTATAAACATAAGATAACTATTACCAAAAACAATTACCTCTACTAGTAGGCGTAGATTTTTTAATCACATTAGTACTTGATTTAATAAAAATTATAACAACTGAAGGGTAACTAATACATCAACAGTAACGCTGTAAATTATATAAAATTTAGAAACAATTAAATTAACAAATTAATACAGCTTCAATTACCAATTAATGTATAACTTTGAACACTAAAAATCAGACTAATAATACACTTCTGACGATATCTGTAATTGCAAAAATCAGACTAATAATACACTTCTGACGATATCTGTAATTGCATAGCAAATATACAGTGCACAAGAAGTAATTTACACTTTGACACTGAGAAAACTTATTAATGTAAATTAACATATAGAGAAGGAAATTTTATTCAAAAGTGATAACTAAATGTACAATACACTGTATATTTGAAGCAAACAAGTAAAAAGCTGCAGTTTCAATTATAAAACTAATTCAATACCTCTTAAATTACTAAATCATTATTAATTAGGCACATATAGGGATTTTAAAAATTATCAAGGAATAAACAAACTTAACAATCTACTTGCACACAAGGTTTTATCTTGGCGTGGTACATTCATCTTATAAACATTAAATATTTTTATTTGTTACAATTGACGAGCAAATTAGGTTTGTAATTTAAGGAACTTTGATATAAAAATATTGTTCAGCCATTTATCATAAGTCATTCTAAACTTCGGATCGGTACAAAATCATATACGGAGGGACCCACGAATTATTGTGTGCCAACAAGAAAGCGTCATTCCTTACAACTCTACTTAAAAACATTCATTTGTAATGCCATATGTAAACTTGTTCTGATTCGGACCTCATGGATAAGCAAATTTGTAAATTGCATTGTGGAAGGGTAATCTTATATTTGCGTACTAAATCTTGGTCTTGGTAGGTCCCCAAATACGGTATCCCCGTGAACGCTCTTCGCTAGTGCTTTTATACTTGCTGCAATGTCTGATGGATGATCCTCATTGTCCTGCAACTGATGTTGACAGTTAATAAACTGGCAATTAGAGTAAGGCTAATTTGTTACCACATATTCGTCATCGTGTTCCTCTTCGACTATACGATTGCGGATTTGTGACATAAAAGTCGGAATCGTTACAGGAAGGGACTTTGCTATACTGCATTGCTGATTTTTGCTTCTTGGGATCTGAGCACCATCAGTTTTGGAAGAATCCACTAAAACATTATTAAAGATAACTAAAAAATAATACAAAACAAGACAAGTAGTTCATATTTCTTAAATATTCCTTAACAATCAGAATTTTGCAAAATTGCTCCAAAATAAGTAAAAAATCATATGGCCCATAAAGTTAACGTTTTGAAAGATACATGTTTCCTTACCATCATTATCACTATCATTTTCTATCACAGTATATGGATATGGATCTTCCATTTCCTCCAATTGGAAAAGTCCTTCGGAATCAATAGACTTTCCATACCCCACAGGTGTGCTCATCTGTCTGGCCGTGATACGATTAGAGTTAGTTTTCATTTTCTGTGAAGCAAAGGTTACATTGTAAATATCTCTCATAATCTGCATTTTATGGTTTGCGAAATCTAGAGATAATCAAAATTAAGTAGCACAGATTACTATTGAAGTAATTAATTGAAGGTTGATTTTGATAAATCGAATCTTGAATAACATGTTTTTTGACGTTACTATCTAATCACATTACATTCTAAACAATATCAAATTTATTTACGGTGGTACATTATCAAAACACGCTTACCGTAATTAATTTAGTTTTCGCGTTATCACTAGGTGAATTTATATTGGCATTCAATACAGGTACAGTGTCGCTTAATCTGCTATTTGGTGAAGATGGAATTATAAAGTTCTCAGATAGGTTCATCGGTTGATACCTCTTTTCCATTATGACCCTGTAAGATAAGTATTAATTAAACAAAGTTACTTACTGCAAGATATCAACTTAGTACACATTTCATACTACAAATATTCACTGTGTTTTATACAGATTATACAATCATTAATAAATAAACACAGGTTTGTGTTTTCATTTCTGTATGACCACAACACATTTGTGAACAATAACAATAGCTGTTAGCTCCATATGACACAGCCAGTTTCTGTGACAAACACGTGCCATTGCAATTGGAACACCCTGTATAATGAATTAATAATATAGCAAATCAACTGGATTCAAGATTATTAGCAAGTTATACTGTACAACACACAGCGTAATTTTTAATCCAAAAACTAGCTCACTATCACCATGATTAAATAAATTACCTAATACAAGTAATGCTACTTTAAATTATTGAACATTTTTTTAAATTTTTACAATTCTTATAGATATGGTTTACTTGCAACAATAATAAATCTAATAAAAAAATTGGTGATTAAAAAATGAGTAAGTATTAATTAACATAATTAAGTTTCGTTATTCTTGCAATGAGTATCCAATTTGAGAAGAACTTAAAATTTTGTTTGGATGCTTATGTTGCTAAGTGGTAGCAAAACTGATATACGCACAATCGCGAAATTGATGACCAGTAAGGGTTTGCATTCGCTACAATTAAAGTTTTTGAAATGCTTGCTTATTATTGAAGTGAAGCTTGTGTGTTTTAAGTTTCAAATTTCAAATCGCGTGCAGAAAATTAAAGATGACATACATTCATATGATCAAATTTTTAAGGTAGAAATATATGCAAAGTGTTTTACTTTATATTTAAATAAATATTTAGGAAAATCAGTAACTGAAATTCTTTTGTGTTTTATAATTTTTCAAACCCTCATATAACAATACTTGCATAGTGTACATGTACATTTCTTTTGCTTCCTATAGTTACGTTATATTCAAGCAGGCTGAAACACACTTAAATATAACAAAATATTTTTCGGTGGTATACAAGAGTTTGTTTTTATTTTGATAATTTTATTTTTGGACGAAAGTTTTTTCCAGGAAGCAACAAAACTTGAGTGAATTAAAAATAAAATTATCCTGATTTAAAATCAAGATCAAGTGTATTTTTGGAACATTAATAAAAAACAATAAATTTCACAAACAGTTTACATTTATACATTCCTCCACGCAATTTTATCAATGATAAAAACCTATCTAGCTTTTAATCACGTAACAAATCATCTTACTGGTTAGAATTTGAAACAAAAGTCCTCTTCTTAGTAAGGTGTATTATGTTTTCATCTAAATTATCCCCATTACCCAGGGGTGTCAACCATGAGTGACTGGGGGTGCTTTGCCCTTCCCTCTCCCAAATGATTTGAATAAAAATGTTTTTACCACAATTTAACACAAAGCATAATGCTTTTTGAAGTTTTTCTAACATAGTTGGTGTATACGGTGTTCAAAATAGGAATCTCTATGATGGGCATCTCGGAAACCATAGAAGATGGTCAAATTACGGAAAAGTTGTGCGATTAAAGTGTTATTATCATGCTGTTAAGAAAACCAAAAAATTCTGACTACTTTCGAAGACAGAAAAACTGAAATTTGTGCAGATTTTGTTTTTCACGGAACAGACTTTGAGAAACGCCGTGCTAACGGACGGACGGACAGACACAGCAAAATTATAAACTCGCTAGGAGCTCCTTAATAATCGCCCCAAGTAATAACCATGGTTGTCAATAGAGCCAAGTTTCTTTTCTCTCTATCATAGCATTTAACTTAATTAGAGTTTAGATCAAGATTTTGGTTCTCTCTTGTCCAAAATCATCTCTAAAGTAGAGCAAGCTTCATGCGAGTTTTGGCTAATTAAGGTGGAAAATTGCAAGCGGACAAAGTGGCCACAATAGTGTATTTTTTATTTTTGTAGAAATGCGCTAAAAGTATACTGGTTCTCTTAGAAACTAAAAATCATCCAATTTTATAATCAATCTCATCAGCTTGTTCGACACCAAATGTTGCTCAATATCAAAAACGATATGGGAGATCAGAGAAATTGACCTAATTTGAGAAATGTCTTCTAGCAGCCAAATATGTTGAGCATAAACGCCAATGATGCAAATATTATGTACATGTACTACATTATTACCTAATGTGTTGGTTAGCTTAAGAGTAAAATTAGTCCAAAGTTACTACATTTAAGGCGAATGTTAAAATAAAAATTTTCATTTTTACACAAATTTAAATTTATACAAACTTAATTTTAAATTGTTTTAATTTTTCTATTTTACTAGCCAACTGCTAGAAATGGGCGATTTAGACTACATTATTAGAAACACTTTTATGGAGAATGTGAAATTGTTTTGAACAATTTTCAATTTGCCAAACAGTAGACCATTTTGACCATATGATTTTTCCAATTTTTTGTTGTAAATTAATTATGTACAATTAAGTAAAATGAAACAAAAATGCGAAGAATTATTAAAATACCTCCCCAAATGAAAAATTTACAGGACTTTCAAGTTTTAGTGGTACCTATATAAATTTTAAAATGTATTTTTCTTCATATCTCATTAATTAATGAAAATAAAATTGAAGGATTTAATTAAACTTATTTAACAGTTGCAGATTTATCCATTCGTTATTTAACTAAACACATGGATATTGGATATTGCACGGCCAGTTTTAAGAAAATCTCACTGTATATGAAATTAGAGGAAACGAAATTACCAACTAAAATATCACAATCCCAAGACCTCAACAGAAAAAATTAATTCCATAACTTCATTACAGCACTCTGTATAACTGCAAATACTTACTTTAGAACCACAATGTGGTCACCCTATGTGTATTGCAAGAATTTCAACTTACCTTTCTTTATCACCCACACAAAATCAACAGCTAAAGAAGAAAATATCTACCTGCTAAGAATTTTATGTTCCATCTGAGCCCTCTCTCGAAATTTATCTAATGCTGCATATTGTTGTTCAGTATATACACGTATTCGATCTTCGGTAGCAGTTGCTTCACTACTTATAAACTCTGTTACACGTTGCTTTAATCCACTCAAAGCTAATTCGACATCGGGCGGTAACCCTATCAAGTAATTAATTACCCGTAATGAATTCCTGATATGAAGGCTTACTGTCATGATGTTCATCAAAATTGTTTTCCTTCTCTGGAGAAATTAGTATGTGAAAAACGTTAGAGTAAAGTTCGCTGTTACGTACTGTCGTTATGAGTGCTGAATTCTGTGTGCAAAAATAAGTTAATTTTACAATTAGTAACTTTAAGAACTTTCACATGCCAATAATTTCGTAGAAATTAGTACACAAGCAGCTCCTCTGTCTCGATGGATGGCATGTGTTTGAACATCGCAATTTAAGCACTGATGTACGATCCAATTACCGACATTTCGTGAAGCTACTAATCCTGAATGTTCTTTGTTAATTCTTCTTAGCTTGTCAACTTGCCTGACATCCTAAACAATGGGAAGGTATTTATTTTTTTTTGTTTTTTTAGGTTATGTAATATTTACTCACTTGTTTAAAAAAGAGATCTTGTTTTTCTTCCTCACTTAAGTTCAAGTGATCTAAATTAGCATGCTGAAAATCATTTGTTTCCGATTCGACAATTACATTTAAACAATTGCATGAGAACATTTTGAATTAAAGAACACAAAGGATTATTTTAAATTTCCAAACAAAAAACACCAAATTTAACTTGATAAACATCAACTAATAAAAACACAGGTAGACAGCTCACTTGTCATTCAAGGCAACCGCACAGATGTTTATAGAGACCAGTTTCAACAATAACTTTATGGAAAATTATCACACTACTTTTCTACAATTTCGTACAAAAAATCTCAGAGTACAAGCATTCCATTTATAATTGTACCTCCGAAAGAACAGCGTTTGGAGTACTCGTAAAATAATAGTAAAAGGTAAATTTGTCTATGAACAAAGCAATAGAGACCAGTACACCGACGTTGCTTGCTATTGGATGACGCTGAATGCACACACACGTTTTGTTCTTTTTCACCGGCTACGGAGCGCAATCCCGTGTTTTGTAAATAGGAAAACAAGCATGCTGCTCCATTCGGCACGTAAATAATTCCACTTCCACGAAATCTGTCAATATTTTCGGAACTATGATACAGGGTGTTTCCATGTACGTAAAGCAAGAGCAACAATATTTCCTTTTTAGTTTCATTACTTTAGGTAGTAAAACAACGGCAGTTCGCGATAATAATGTTTTACCTCGTACGAAGAAAAAACAAACACTTGTATATAAATTAAGTAGATATAAAAATGAAAACGTGCGCGCTGTTACTCAGGAAAGAAAAGCTTGTAGTGCAGATAACGCCCTGATATAGTCGTGTCGTGATGGGGGCTTTGATAAGCCAGGGTTTAAAAAAATCTCAAGACCCTGGCTCTATGGGAAGTAAAAAAATAAAGGACAAAACTGTAGACAATTCCATAGCTTGTGAAATGGCTACCGCCGCGCAAAGAACGAGCCTAAATAATAAAAAGAAAGAAAGGTGGATAGCCTTCTGGAATGGTCTTAGCAAAGGTAAGTGTCCATCACCTGTTAAAAGGGACTCGAAAAGGGAATATAGGTATAATTGGGGAAACAGTAAGAAAGTTTAATCGGTCGAATCTTCTGAACATATGCTCTATCAAAACGATGAAATATATTCCAGAACTTCCTTGAACAGCTATGCACTCAAACTAATCCGTGACCGTGAGAGGTCTGGAACTATTTTCGAGACTATTTCCAATGGAAAGTGTTGGCATTTCGAAAGCTTTAGCACATTTATAATAGTGACTGATCACTAACTGCAGTGGTGTCATGCTTTTGTTACAAGCTACATTTTCTATTTGTTCAAAATGAAATTATATACTGTGTGATGTGTCCAAGATAAGGATGTCTGTCATCATGAGGATCTCCAAAACCATAGAAGATGCGACGATGGTCAAATTAGAGAAAATATGCGCTATGAAAGAGTTAAAGAAAACAAGTAAGTATTCGAGGTATGATACTGCACACCACTTATAATAGTATATAGGAGTAGTAGCAGTAAGGACGAGTCTTCATAGCTGCGAAATGCGGCTAACACTTGCATAGCCCAACGCTCTACCACTGAACCATAAAGCTACTTTTACAACCCCTCAAAGTTCAAACCTTATTAAGTGGACAGGGGTGGTCATCCCAAGGGGCTTTCCACAACCCGAAGTACTAGTGTCGATAAAGTTTCCTTTATTACATGTAACAAGTTATGATCGAGTCTAATTATTTAAAACTACTCCTGTATCGGCAAATGGCTGAATCGGAATCGAAAGTTGTCTAAAATGTCTTCTACTACCGCACGCCTCAAGAGTTAACAACGTACGGGAAAAATGTGCTACTTATATATTGTTTTGTAACATTACTCCTGGATCCGCCCTTGAACGCAACCCGTTACTTCATCTCCATGAGGTGAGGGTTAAGTCTTGCCCTGGGCCATGGCCGATACCATTGAGTTTACCGATACGCTGCCCGTCTTTCAATACCTTGAGTTATTCAATGGTTGAGTCACGTTGCCTCAACGGACCACGTACTTTTCTAATGTCAAAACACCCTACATTATAGCAATCTATTAATCACGAAGTATATCGACCTACCTTCCAACTTGCTAATCGTTTTGCTGTCTTAAATTACTGGTTAACGTTGCTTTTTAAGGGACTTGTCAACGTCGGAAAAGTTGAATACTGCTATTGGCAACGTTGTAACTCTTATGCAGAACGCACTCCTTCTGCATTTGCTTTAACCTTAAAAATAAAATAAAAATCTTCTCTTCATCAAGTTTGGTGGAGTACTTCGCAATTTAAAGTGAAAGTATAACTGAAACATGCAACTTCCACCCGTATTTATAGACATATCATTGGAAGAACAGGTATATGGCATCTTGATAGTTATTTTTTAATACCATATTTTGAAATTGCCATTGTGGTTATGTGTCTTTAGGCTCAAGAGTTACGGGCCTATTTGAAAAATTTGGGGGCTGAAATTTCTGAAGAAAAGTCATCCAAAGGGATCGCCGATGATCTGCATAAAATCATAGCTGTTTGCGATACTTGTTTTCGAGAGGGGCAAGAATCGGAGGTAGAAAGTGTTTTGAATGATATTGTGTCCATTATGGTTTTGGTAAGTGTTAACCGTCGTGTGAATTCGGTTTTAGTATTTTCCTTAGGTTCCGATGGAGCATGGAGAAAACATAATATTAGCGTTTTGTGAAAAATTGGCTAAAGCTCCAGGACATAAGCTACTCTTGGCCAGTTTGCGAGCGTATGTTTTTTATTATTTTATATATGATGAACATTTTTATTTATTATAGTTTGTGGCTATTGTTTCAATCGTTAGATGAACGTTCGCCGATGAGATATCATGTGTATTATCATTTAATACAAATTGCTAATCAAACTGATCAAGTTAGATGCGTGTTTCGAGATATTGAACACTTAAAGCAGCAATTTTCGCATTGTCCACCATCGAGTGAACAATTACAGAAACTATATAGGCTCTTGCATGAGGTCTTACTTAGAAGTAATCAGAGCGAACAAGCTGCCAAAGTTATGATAGAGCTGCTCGGCACATATACAGCTGAGAATGCTTCCCACGCTCGTGAAGACGCAATCCGTTGTATTGTTTCTGCTTTGGCTGATCCCAATACGTTTCTTTTGGATCCGTTATTATCCCTTAAACCAGTTAAGTTCTTGAAAGGAGAGTTGATTCATGATCTCTTATCAATATTTGTCAGCGACAACTTGCAAAGCTACCTAACGTTTTACCATAATCACAATCAGTTTGTTAAGGATCAAGGGTTAAACCATGAGCATAATATGCAAAAAATGCGCCTACTCTCATTTATGCAACTGGCAGAAACCAATCCAGAGATTAATTTTGAAACAATCCAAAAAGAGTTGCAAATAGGAGCTGAAGATGTGGAAGGTTTTATTATTGAAGGTAGCTTGTTTTGAGATATTTTTGTAATATAACACTTTTAATTTTTAGTATTAAAGACAAAACTAGTTAGAGCAAGAATGGATCAAGCTGCAAGAAAGGTGTACACATCCAGTACAATGCATAGAACGTTTGGACGAGCCCAATGGCAACAATTACATAATTTATTGTATGCGTGGAAGGGAAACCTTCAATCCGTTCAAGAAGGCATGAAGAATATTACCGCAGCCCAATTAGAAATGCTAAATCAGTAAATTATATTTAATTTTCAAAATTGGTACTTCTTTACTAAATTCAATTAAATGTTTTGAATATTTTGTTTTATTTAACAGATTATATATATTATAGCATCATTAATATATATGTATATCTAAGTACACTGGTTTTGTATACAAATTTTGTACAAAATAAAATTTTCAAACAGTTTTTAATGCGAACTTGTGGTGCAGCATTTTGTGATAAAGTAGGTGTACCTACTATACATAACGGGCGATCAAAAATGGGTTGCTGTCGAGTCGCCTTTGGAAGTTCAACTTAAATACGATTTTTGATCGCATAGTATAAGCAGACTATTCCATAAATATAAAAAATAACTTATGGTTAGATTCACTTGGAGTTACTTGTGCATAACTATTTCCTTGATAATACCATTGAATTTATACCATTTAGTCGTCAATACTTTCTCTTCAGTCTTGTAATTCATCGCTAATAATAGAAATAAATTTCAACAAACTTCATTTGACAGTACCCATACCTCAATTGTTCCCTGCAAGTACGGAGAAATTACAAAATATTGGCAATATCTCATTAAGGGGTAATCAAAAACCTCAAAGAGTAACTTTTGATTACTCTTAGATGCGGATTTTAATGCTCTTCAATTAACCTAAATAGATTTTTCCTCTCAAATAATTAGGGAAACCAATAGTTAACCTCCTTCAAATTTGCATGGGGATTTCCTATGTCCCGCCGGTCGATCCAACACGCTGTATAGTGAAGGAACCGGTATAGTGCTGCCAGTACTCTTGTCGAGTTTTTCATTCATTCATATTTTTTTCAAAAATCTGTTTCGTTCCCATGTGCCTAATATGTATATATATATCCAACATTTGAACAAAATCCGTCGAGCCTTTACCCATAGACATTATTCAGTATGCCTTTACCTCAGAACATTTCCAACGGATGTACGTTCATACTGGCTGTGTAAACCATGTCACTTCAGGACGTTGTATTTTGGGGTAACGGGTAAGACATTTGGAATGAATCGGTGCGCCTAATTGTCTAATTATTAATGTAATCAAAATTTTTGTTTTCTTTGTTTAGTGTCCTGGGACTAATTACGTTTTAACCACGGACCTCTTAAATTTTGTTTAAGAGGTCCGTGGTTTTAACACTACAATTTTCGAGTATGCAGTCATGGTTGTATTTGTTTATTTTCTGTATAAATTCTAAGATATTTCTTGGGAATTTCTGTACCCCACATTTGATAAAATTTTATGTCCAAAAACGGCATTCGCAATAACTGCCTAGCTAGGAAATTAAAAACGAGACGAGCGAAATATTTACATAGAGTGAATTTTTAGAATGGAGGAAAATTTTTTCTTAAAAAAAAAGACCAAACAAATGCACTCTAAAGAATGCAAGCAAATGTGCAGCGAATTTAACGATTTGGGCATTTTATAACCGATCTGCAAAAACTTAATTAAAAAAAAAGATGATCGGAAGAGAGCCGGTGTTTTCAACGTGGTATGGCAGTTGTCGAGACAATGATTGTTCTAAAGGAAACAATAACTATAATTCATTAATTATTATCTAAAGTCAAACAACGTTGCGTCCGGTATAGTATTTGAATGGATCCCCCATTGTAGAACTCTGCTCCTTAATAAAAAATGTGGGTTACCTTTTAAAAAGTTGTATGACGTCACGGCGCTAAAAACTCATTAAAAAAGTTTTTGACAGTCATTACATCTTTTATCCTAACTAAAGTACATTCGCAAAATCGTAGTATTTAACCGTTTTTAGTGGAAAGTCCCCTACATGATAAACTTGCAAGATTTGGAGCAGTAGGTATTATTCCTCAAGAAAACTCGAGCACAATCAAGTGAGTGCAAACCAATTTTTTTCCAGTTTTTTTGTAATTCTCTCGAATATCAATACCTTGCTTCTTGTCAAGGTGACATCTAACGTTACTTGCAATCGGATAACCTCGCCTTCCTAAATATTAACGAAATATAAAATAAATTAAGAAAATAATTTAATTGAACAGCTTATAACCACAATACAATAACTCAAATTATTACTATTTTTATTAACACTTTACACAAAGACTTACTCAGAGGTACAGATATTACAAAATTCAAATTATAAAATAAGTTTATTCGTACCTACACATTAAAAACTAGAAATTAATTTTCTCAAAATTAATAAATTGCAAAATCTATTTCTTGAAATTCTTGTTGTAACTTCAAAATCTGCCCCTTTTTTATACGAGAACATTTGTACACATCCATCGTCTTTAATAGTGGCAGTGAAAGGGCAGCTTCACGACAGCTTTTAATGGTAATGTCTATGCCTCTCAAGTCTAAATTTTTTAATTGAGTACAACATTGCAGAACAGGCATCAGGTTGTCATCATTTATACCTTTCCAACCGTATATTACCAACCTGCAAGCAATAGCAAAAAGCTACAATTAAATGTAAATTCATAGGATATGGATAGTATGAAATATGGTGTTATAGAATAGTGAATCAATAGGAAAATTGGTAACCTCTGCCAAATGTTTTGTAATCAAGCTTCTGTTTGGAGATTTTTGCATGAAACACCTCAGAGCATTTTTTAAAGAACTTCCACTAGGCGGCACTGAACTCAGCATTGGAGTGCCATACTGGGGTCTCCACTCCAGTGTAAAATTTTTGAGGGCCCCAGTCACCAATTTGCTTTTGAAAGATAGCTGAAAAGTTTTTGCCACTGGTATCCTTACACACTACTGGGCGACAAAAAGTCTTTACTAGGCGGCACTAGTGTCGCCTACTTTATAGCTTAAAATATGCTCTGAAACACCTGGTATAGAACTGTAAATAAATAAATAACAAACTATCACTATACTAGTGGATTGAACCAACTTGTTCTAATTAAATAACGTCTATTTACGGAATTGAAGTCAGCTGCTTATTACAATTAAGAAATAACATGTTCTTTTTTTAATGAACAAGCGCATACATGTCCAGTTTGATCCAATTACTTGTTACTTACAAACCTTTCTAACAGCGGGCATCCGGCAGCCATTTGTTGTAACGAATCTTCTGGATCACAATGATATGGTCCGCCTGTTAATTCCAATATCCTCAACTTATTACACCGGGCCAATCCTTTTAAACCTTTCGCCCGCATATGCCTATTTTCGCAAAATTTAACTTTCTCAACATTCTGATTATATTCTCCTATAACTTCTGCAATACCATTTACATATAAATTTATATTATCACCTACAAAACGCAACATAATCAAATTGTACACCAATAAAGAAACATACATAATGATATTGATTTAAGATTTCTATTAACCTTCAGAGTATCTAATAGAACCGCATTTGGTATATCTGAACACAAAAAGTATATATGAGTTAAACCCGTAATTCGTGGAAGAGGTTCAAAAGACGCTTTGCAGCGCATAAACTTTACCCCTAAAATATACATATTAAAATAAACCATCGATGGTTAGTACTCACTTTGTAGATTTGAACACTCTGACAGATAACTGAGCACTTCTTCAGTTCTACAACTCTCAACATTTAAAGAAGTTAAATATTGACCAAAGCTTTTCAAGGCTCTGAAATTTGTAATTTTTGGTACACTAACACAGACTTCTCTACTTACAAAATGATATATTCGTTAAATTCTGTATAGTCTTCCGATTGCTGCCTTTTGTCATACCATTTGTATTCTATTGAAAGAGATCTGGGCCGTGAAACTCTCAAGAGATATGCTTTCAACTGTCCTTTGCTCATAGTGTGCTGTAAATCGACACACTATAAAAACTGAAGAAAAACTTAATGTTACCTTTAATGTGATATTTTTATAAAGTGACGTATCAGTTGACGCTTCATACAAACTTCTGCACAATGTCGCACACATACAAACGGTTTTGAAATCCAAGTATTTCAAAACATTTACTAGTGTAAGATGCTAAAAACCCATCCGTTAATGTGAATGTTGGTATATATAACTTAATATTACACTTACAGGTAAATTGGCGATGTTAAAACTAGTTGGAATTTCTTCAACAGAAGGTCGAGTAGAGAGCTTAAATTTTTTACTCAAAGGCTCATCATCCGAATCCATAGTTTTTCTGTGTCCTTCCAAAATGTACTTACAGAATTTTCACCATAAAAATGATAGTACTAAACCATTCACTTCACATTAATACTCCATAAACACTGTGGGAATTAATTGCTATTGTTCTTAGAAATTAAACAACATTAGGATTACCCTTTACTAAACATAACTGTAAAGAGTGAACATGACAAATATGTCATTTTGTGTATTTAGAAAGTATTTTATCATTTAACCTAATTTCAATGATTGTATTTTTACATCGGCTAATTGTTACGACATCAATAACCTAGCCAGTTTAGCCTTCCTTTGAACACGTTTTTTTATGGTAAAATAACAGGAATTTAAGTTTTTTCAGTTACTTTAGCAACATTTCCTATAATAAATAAGTAAGGTTACTATTCATTTCGCATTGGAAAATTACTAGCACAGCACATCTTTACATACAAAGTGAGTCAAACAAAAATGGACACTGTGCTGCGACGTTTTCAAAGAGTACCCTACTATATTCGTTGAAATACGTCCAAATGGACAATTTAATTGCTCATTTCTCATTACTCCTACCAAAGATATTTCTTAAGGCTCTTATGGAGTGATTAAAAACATCTAAGGTGTCAAATATAGCAGAGTACCTTTATGTGAAATTAAGTCAATGTCAATCGCTGTTGACGTAGCACCACTCGAAATGGTGTACCTACGTAGGTATAACCATTGGTATAACCCTTAACCATGCTTATTCTACACGGAATGACTTTTAAATAACCGTTGGTTTCGACGGCAGCAGCGCTGCTGAGTAGCCGCTGCGAGCAGTATCGCCGCTGCCACGGTCGCTCAGTGTGAAGGCTTCCATATAAACCAATCACAGAACAGTAAACCAATGCTCCGTCAGCAGCAAGGCAGCTAAGCAGCGCTGTGAAGCACAGAACAGTGAAGTCGCCATAGTGTGAAGGGCAATTTGGTGTTTGGAAAATATACACAACTTGTGTACAAATCAAACTGGCCAGAAATAAACAAATGAATGTGCTTGATGACAAATATTTTTTGTTCGCCGATTCTTCTACAGATAGCCCCTCTCTTCAGATTTAAATAATGATTTACAATATGTTCGATACCAACTTATCAATTTGTTAATGTTACCAATTTTTTAACATCAAGAAATTATTTATAAAAACAACACACCACTTCCACGTGTCCATCAGCTCCTGTTGAAAAATTTCATTGTACGTTTGAAATATATTTTGCATTTTCTATTTTAAAACATGTTTGAGTGCATTTTACCTACCTCTGATTATTATTAATTTATTCCAGTAAGGCGACTTTCTTGGTATGATTACCCTGTATAGTGGGATCAAAACAACCACTTTTTCTAACTAAACCGAGGGACGAGGGTCCAACATGTTTCCTTTGGGAACTACCCCCACAAAAGTGGTGAAATTTGCATTTCTTTTTTAACTCTTTTCACAGTAACCATTAGAGTTAGAGAGATTGGTGGCAGGTCTTTGAATAGGTTTTCGGGTACCTATGTCCTTTCCGAGTTTGCCAAAACTTTTTCAAGATTCCTACCACAAAAGGGGCGCACCCTAAATGGGAATGCGAAACAAATTTTGATTTCGTAGAAATCTGGGGGTTTTTGAATATGAAAATCACGAATATTAAATTAGCTTTTGAAAATTTGAAAAAAAATCCACTGCATAATTCTTGGTCGAACAACGAAAATGGAGAGAATTCCACGAAATTTGTTGTGTACATACTTGATAAGTTAAGGAACAAAATTGTCGAACAGTTTTTTAATATAATTTTTCAAACAAAAGTTATGCTCATTTGTCCCCCTCTACTAGTGAGTGATCTAATTTCGCATGTAGGTAGTTGAAAATGTCGCAAATAACAAAAAATAACAATTTAAGTCGATATTATGATACTGGAATAATGCTTATTGATTGTAATTGAACTCTGTTTAAATAGCACTTTAATTCTCACCACCCGCAGCCACGCATAATCTACGTCTTTTTGGAATCGAATTTGCAGATTTCAATATCATGATCGACATATCGATATTTTAATGATCATTTAATCATAATATCGACTTAAACTGTTATTCATATTCAAATCCCCCAGATGCCAAAGTTCGTCGAAATCAGAATTTTTTCGCACTCCCATTTAGGGGTGCGCCCTGTCGTGGTAGGAATTTTGAAAAAAATTTCGCACAATCGTTCAGGGCATACCCGAAAACCTATTCAAAGACGTGCCACCAGTCTTTCTAACTCTCTTATGGTTAGTGAGAAAAAAATTACAGAAGAAATGCAAATTTCACCACGTTTGTGAGGATGGGGAGCCCCGCGAAACGCGTTGGACCCTCGATTTATTTGGAAAAAGTGCTTGTTTTCATCCCCTCTCCGCCCAAATTTTTTTGCATACTTATTTTATACAATGCTTATATGTAACACCCTGTATATTTATGTATATTGGCCACCTACGGCGTAGCGCGCGCCACCGCACCAGACTATTATTTAAAATTTCTGTAAAAGCGCCAAATCAATCGTGGTTGTGGATTCTTTTCTAAAAGCGGCAAAACTTGTGACTCTTCGAAAATAAAGAATTACAAAACTCGCAACGCTTGTAGGATCGCATATTTTGTAGAATACTTAATAATCATGACAAACGTAGAACCTGTTAATACATTTAATTTGGGTAATCAAAGTATAACCTCAAATTTTCTAATTTCTACTTACCATTTTTTATTTTAGATTTATCTCAACAAATTAGTTTTGTTCGATATTACCGAGGTTTACCGCAGGTGAGTTTTACAATTGAGTACCATATTATCACATGTAAATCATGTATTGCATTGTAAACGGAAATGTAATGTTTTTACATCATTTCGTTGCCGTATGATGCCACTGTAGCTACTAGGTACCTACCTACCATAACTAGGTTTACTATAGCAAAATGGATACAATTTGTTGGTAATAGACAGCATACCGTTAATTGGTTAAAAGGAAGTTTGTAACATGCGTCTTGCCAGCAATATCAAATCCTTTTTGAAAATGTGTATCGTAGTTTTTGAAAAATTTATAGGTTGCAAGATTAGGTAACGTCACAATTTTTGACAATTGATTTATCAAAATGTTCAATTCTAGTTTTCAACTGATCTTTTACTGGTCACATTTAATTATACAATTTGATTTTTGAATTATCTTTGGTTTTCCAGAAGTTAAAAAAATCATGCGTTGTCGAGAAATGTTTTTAATTATGGTAGTGTTTTCAAGCATAATTTTTGTGTAGGAGCTTAGTTTGCAATGTGGACCATTATAATAAATGGCAGTACTACTGGTAAGGTTTGTTTCATTGCCGGCAAACAACATGCTGATGAAACTTCATTAGTTTATATTGGGGAACCTCTGAACTATATTTAGAGACTGGAATAAACTGCAGGCTTGCAGTCAGCATGAAATTGCAAGGTTAGCACATTTTTGTACTTAGGTAGGGACTTAAGAAAAAGCACTGATTGTGAAATGTTTTTTCAAAATAATTCCATTTTTTCAATTATAAATTTTATTCTTTACAAATACATACACTTATTTTGTTTTAGCTTTTCTTTTTACTTGTAAAAAAAAGAAAAATACATAGCGTTGGGGAAGGTAAATACCATGATTTTACTTACCTACTTAATGGGTATATTCCCACAGTTCAACACTATTTACCCTACTGTGTTGAGTGTATCTATTCTTGTAAATGAATGAATGAATCATACTGTCTAGATGGGGCGAAACCACGTTTCAGAGGGGAGTGGAAGTTAACCCTGCTTTGGTCACCCCATGACTGCGGAGGATAGGGATCAAGTGAACAGAACAGCTTGGTATAAAACTATTTTTTCTTCAAATTACTTAAAAAGTTCTATTACCCTAACAATGTAATGGAAATGTTTAAAATGAACTCTCGAATGAACTGCATCTCAGTATTTAGTCTCCCCTGTATCTCACTATGTTGTTTTCAGTTTCAAATACTTTGACTTCGTGTAACAGATTCGGTTCCTCCATATGCTTCCTCATATTCTGCCATATGTAAATTGCAACATGTTCTGCCGTACTAGGATGAATGTGAAAGTACGCAACGTCGACATCCAAATTTTTATGATCCATTGTATCCATAATTGCCGATTTCATAAACTCCTTTAAAAGTGTGATGTTCATTACCATTCCAGTTTGTTCGTTTACTTCTCCATATAGAGTTACTTCAACTGTTAAATTGGTTATCAAACTGCAGATTCATTTTTGATAAATTCACATACCGACATAGTTGTGACCATGGCCATTTGGGTGATTACATTTGCCATAAATTGCGAGATTTTCCTCGTCGGATAACTTAGGGCTGAAAATTGTAACCAGCTGTATAGTGTGTGGTGACTTGACCTACAAGGGGTGTTTTTTTTTTGTCAACCTCCGATAGGGTAAAAATGAAATGTGATGTGTATAGTAAAATAAATTTAGCACCAAAAGTTGTATACATCTTGTCTCAGTCATTTATTTTATTGTACACATCACTTTCATTTTTATACCATAATCATAGGTTGATAAAAAACACTCCTATCATTGTTAGGTATAGGTACCTGTGCAGACGATGAGAAGCTGAAAATACTTCTCTTCGTGTTAGATAAGCTTTATGAACCATTTTGTCCTTCTGCTTTCACCAAAAACTGATTAGGATTTTGTTAGGTTAGAAATTTAGAAATTGTAAGTATCCCACATAGATACCAGATCTGTTCAGAAAGTTCTTTCTCTTTTTAGTAAAGGGCAACGTATTTCTTGTGCTTGTTTAAGCGGCCACGTCCGGTTATTAAAACGTTTCTATAATTTTTAGCATATCAATAAAAAAATAGAAATGAAGTTAAAAAGAGACTGTGTTTTAGCTGCCCATTGAGATCTCCGTAAACCAATGAATAAAGAATTTCATTGCCGTAAACGGTTAGAGATACAGCGTAGGTTAAATGGGGGCAAAGTTGACCTTGTGTGTGACTAAAAAACGCATTTGAAATTTTTGAAGTCTGAAAATTACAGATTTCACCGAAAAACTGAAAATCGAGCTGAAAATGTCAAATTCATTTTCCTTAATTTAAACGGTCGGAAATGGACGGTTTCCGTTAGCATCTTCTAGGGGCACTTTTCTTCGGCGAAAATATCTGAATCTGTTATCAGAATTTCCATAACATAGATAGCTACAAGCTGCTACTTTCTTATTTGTTATGGGTCTTATCTCGGGTCTTATATGGATCGGACGCCATATTGTATTTTTATGGAATGAGGTAGACGACAAAAAGAGAAATTAATTTGAATGCATGGCCATCATTTCCATATTGATTCAGCAAGACCCGTGGATGTTTTCCATTTCCCTTTCTGACAGTTCAAACTAAGGAAATTTGACATTTGCAGTTTTTATGTGATGTTTTCTGTGATTTTCAAAGAACTTTGAAAAATTTCAAATGCGTTTGTTTGATCACAAAAAGGGGCCCCTTTGCCCTTTCTTATCTGATGAGGTAAAAGATGAGTGGGAGAGGGATGGTGAATTATGCTGTATCCCATGAACCAATATATTATCAATTACCGTAGTTTTCCAATGGTATGATTCACGTTTTGATACATATAAACTTTAATCCTTTGATTCAAAGTAGAAGTTTGATTTTTAGCGCGTTTTTGAAAAAAAGTAGCGCTTATATATTCACTTTGGCTGTTCGGTCGGTCGGTTGGCTGAAAAGGTTTTTATCGTATTTTCCAACGTGTCGTTAAAAAATTCCTAGCTGAACATGCTTTTTACACCATGGATGAATTTGAGGATCATGTGTTAATGATGGTTTAATGATCATTTAGTGTTAATGTATTATTGTTTGTTTGTTCTATTTTTGACTTGTTATGTTATACAGGGTGGTGCCTAGCGCAACGCAGCATAGGGATTTCAATGGCAATTTCTTTATAGTCAATTACTAGCTCCCCTAATTATTTTAGAGCAAAAGTCTAAATACGTTTTTTTTAGAGAAAAAAATACTGCATCTGTTCATACTTTTAGTTATAATTTTCCATTTTTCAAAACCGTAGAAATCGACAAAATAAAAAATTACATTTTTATAAATCAGTGATGCTTTGGAATCTTTTAACAAACTACAAGCGCATCGCATCTCAGTTATGGTTATTTGACTTTGAGGTCGAACGATTTTCATATTTAATTCTGTTTCAACTAACCGACTCAATAACAGGCATCTTAGGGTAATGTTTTTTTAGAGAATGTATGCTGCATCTGCATCAGATACTACTTGTTCATTTTCCGGAATTAGAGTACCTACATAATCGAAGAAAAAAACTGATTTGAAGAAGATTTGTTCCTAAACTTATATTCGGATTTTCCGCTACTGCAGCCAAAACGTCGAATGTATTGTTGTTTTCCTGATGGTTTTGACGGACATTTTCAACGTTATTGCACTTGCAGTTCTTTAACTAATTTATAAACCAGTATAAATTTAATATACGTCAAAGGCAAATAATGAAACGTGATCGCTGTTTTTTTAGGTAATTCCAAGGCATATTTGATTTATTGTAAAATGAACACTTTTATTTTGGCGATTTCTACGGTTTTGAAAAATGGAAAATTATAACTAAAAGTATGAACAGATGCAGTATTTTTTCCTTTACAAAAAACGTATTTACACTTTTGCTCTAAAATAATTAGGGGAGCTAGTAATTGACTATAAAGAAATTACCATTGAAATCCCTATGCTGCGTCGCGCTAGGCACCACCCGGTATACACTTTTACATGTAAACCGTTTTTGATAATTGTAAAAGTGCTTTGCACCCTAACATGAACATGAATAAATAAATAAATAAACGAAGTTGGGTGCGCTATTGCAGCCACTTTCTCTGCCCTTCCGTCTGTCCGAGAGGCCTTAACCACTACAGTTTTCAAGATATTAAGTTCGTTCTTTTTGCATTCGGTAGCGTATAGATCTAGCACCTGAGCCAAGGAAAATTTTGACAATTAAACTGCGCAATGTCAACTTCCTTATTTATTAATATATTTTGTTGAAAGTTGAACCACAGATACTTCTGGTGAAGGCAAATATATCGCATATAGTAAAAATCAGTTGTGCGCATGTAACTTTCTTATTTATGGAGATATTTCTTTGAAATTTTACCGAAAGATGCTTTTAGTATAAGCAAACGTAGCGCATATTGTAAACATCAGATTAATGTGCGCATGCGCAGTCAGTGCCAACTTCTTTATTTATCCAGATATTTCTTTGAAATTTCAACCATATGTGCCTCTAGTAAAGAAAATTACAGCGCACATAGCTATGGCCTTTTGGGAAGTACTGATCATTCATGGAAAATGCGCTGAAGTTACTCGCCTTAGGGCGATAACCTTATTACTTGTTTAAGTATAACTCGAATTATCGTAGAATTCTCGGGTTTGAAGCATTAACTTTGTGTCACAATTTTTTTGCATGCGATTACATTTCACCACAAAAGGTATTCTACATAATGAAACCGGAGCATAAATTGAGTTTGCTAATAAAATCGCGATCCGTCGTCCATCGACCCATCGAGTACTTTCCAACTTTTACGCTACAATTTTTGTTATACTTATACATGGCGATTCACAAGGACCATCAGTTAGTTGTAGAGTTAGAAAGAGGGCTAAATTACTAAAATTGTATTTTTTTCTACTGAATCCAAATCTGGAATTACAGAAACAAAACAACATCGCATTTTTTAGATAATATTAAAAATGTAATTTTATATGGAACACCCTGTATATTATTACATCATATGACGGTTTTCTAAATTCTCTACAAAAGTTCATAGCAAAAATACTTTAAATAACCCAAGATTTTTGAATTATTTTCATTTCGATCTAGTTACCCATGAAAATGGTAAAATGACCTTGTTTGTTGTAAAGTATCTAACAGTCAACTTTGAAGTTTATTACATAGTGCTGTTTAAGTTTATTTCCTAGAAAATATGCTCCACCCTATATGCTGAAGGAACCGGAAGCGTTTTTGAACATCTTCTTTAACATAGGTAGTAATCTATGGTAACTATTTTTATATTATTACTTAATTTCACCTATTATTCTTATTTTGTTAACAACCGACTATAATATTTCTTAGTACTCGTTATTGTTTTATATACTATTATGTATGTTTATCATTTTCATGGATAACTAGATCGAAATGAAAATAATAGAAAGTTCTTGGTGTGGTCCATTAAGAACGTCTGCAGGGAATTTAATATACCACCATAAGGTGTAATAATATACAGGGTGTTTTGCACAAAAAAGTCACATTTGTGGTATTATTTGAAAAATACGATGTTGTTTTGTTTTTTTTAATTACAGATTTGGATTCAGTAGCAAAAAATACACAAAACTTTAAAATTTTAGGTTGCTAAAAAAAATTCAACTACTCCGTGCCGGTGAGTGTATAGTACTCTCAGTTTATCTATCTTACCCCTCGTCTTACCCTATCTAATGAGTGTTTTGGATCAAACAACCCATTAGGAACAAATATAAACATTGTTTTTTTAGAGGTTCACAACTTTGAGTGGCCATCATGCTTTATTTGACAACCCATATAACATCTGATAGTTGCTTTTTGTTTAGTTTGGTTTGACATTTCATTATGGATAGGCTTACACCTCGGCTTACACCAAAGCAACGTTTGCAAATTGTTGAAATTTTTTATCAAAATAATGGTTCCATTCGTCATACTTCACGTGCACTTCGTCTATTTTATGGCGTACATCGTTCTTCAGGGTGGCTAATTCGAAAAACAGAAAATTACTGTTTGGTGCATTATGGACTGGCGGAGTCATTGGTCCATACGTCTTCAAAAACGATGATGGTCAGAATGTGACTGTCAATTGTGCACGGTATAGGGACATAATTAGAATTTTTTTCGTACTTCAATTATCGGCATTAATCTTGCCGACATGTGGTTCCAATAGGATGTAGCCACATGCCACACAGCGGCGCTACAATTGATTTATTCAAAGAAACTTTTGATGAAGGAATAATTTCACGTAATGGTGCAATTAATTGGCCACCAAGATCGTGTGATTTAACCCCATTGGATTATTTTCTTTGGAGTTATGTGAAGTCACTTGTTTACCTACGTCAATAAACCAGAGACCATTGAACACCTGAAAATCAACATTCGAAGAGCAAGGTCTGATGATGAAATTAAAATTCGAAATCGATAACCTGTAAGAAAACAAAAAATCTAAATTATTTACCTCTACTTACCTGCTTATATTCGAAGAGTTATTGGCGAAATACGGCCGCAAATGCCGCGAAAAGTTTGTGAAAATTGGTGTTCCAGATGCGCCTTTTACAGTGCAACCGTGGCGGCTATATGGCCGAAGTCATTTTTCGATTTTTGAAAAACTTACATATGTTAACCTATAACAGTAGGTGACGGATTAGTGTCACTAGAAATATTTAAAATTCAATTGTTATAAAATCATGGCCGACTACTAAAAAGAAAATTCGAAAAAAATAGTGTCAATTCAATAAAATGGGAATAAGTCACAAACTGTTAAAGATAGCTATAGGAACATGTATTTTCAAAATATGCCCACTTCGATTCTTTATCTCATGCAATATTAAGAAAATGGTGATTCCATTAAAAAAAACTGAGTCTTTAGTCTTTGAAGTTTCATAAATTTGGATCTCCATAGGGGCGGTCTTACGCAACTTAACTTTTTTTTAAGTACGCTAAAAGAAAGCTGTATTCAATCTATATGCACTGATAAAAATAGGTTGCCATGACTACAACCGTTTCCAAGTAATCAATTATCAAGGTACCATCTACATCCGCCATTTTTTTTCTTAAAGTCAAAATAACTTAAAAACCATAAATTGCAGATATCGACATATGGGTATCAAAAGAACTGAAATTTCACGTAGAATCCAAAAACCCAATAAAAAATTGGGGTTGATATTGATTGAAATAACGAAGTGACTATCTACTTCCGGTGTTTCCGGAAGTGCGGCCATTTTGAAAATATTTTACATCGATTCGGCCTTCAGAGTAACTACTAAGTACAAATTTTCAAAACCTACCTATTTTACTTTCCCAGAAACGTTTAACTAAAACTCCCAAAAAAACACCCTGTATTTCTTTGTTTTATCATGATTTAAACTTGTGTCCCTCTAAAAAAACCATTATTATTTCATTTTAGGATTTCTCGGAAAATGTTTTTTAATCATCTTGATTTCTTTAAAAATTTAGGAAGATGTAGCGTTATTTTCAGCAATGCACTATTGACCCATTTTCAAGTGTAGGTCGTGGTCAAAAGTAATGTCCTTCCTCAGATACCTCTTAACTGTAGAAAAAATACTAGTATGTCAGTTCTTCCCTGATTTAGTTCAATTACATTTCATTTTTAGGGACTTTCCCATTTTGAAAAGAAGCTTAAAGCTCACCGGAGATATGGTATACAGGGTGATTCCTATAGTACCTGCCACCGTTTGGGAGCGTGTAGGTGGTGCGTAGGGGAGTATTTTGATATAGGACACTTGGGGTCGGATATCTAAAATAAGGGTGCCAGAGCCAAATTTACCTTCTGGAATTTCGCGCCTGTAGGTAGGCAACCCAACCGGCCGGCGGTGCACACGGAGCGATCTCAGGCGGCGATGTGTGGCTGACACTTGATCAGAATTTTGTTTAAACCCACGAAATCCCGTCTGCAACGACGCGTATCAAGTGAATAACACTATGGCAATAGTATAATAATAGTTGGCTAGATGTAGGAAGTGCATTGAGAACAACGGTGGCCACGTTGAACACTTGTAAACGTTATTGCTTTTGACTGTGGTTTTCCCTCCTTCCCTCCCATGTCGCTTCCTCGCGCTAACTCGCTCTGCATCGCTCCGCGCGAAACGTCGGTCGGTTGGGTTGCCTACATACAGGCGTGAAATTCCAGAAGATAAATTTGGTTCTGGCGCCCTTATTTTAGATTTCCGACCCCAAGTATCCTATATCAAAATACTCCCCTAGGCACCCCCTATACGCTCCCAAACGGTGGCAGGTACTATAGGAATCACCCTGTATATTAATTATATGTGCCGATTTATGTGCTATACTTGAGATAATCGAGGGACCAAAGTCAAAGTTTTTTTTTATTAAAAAGTGCGTGTTGACTAAACTATAGACCTGTCGTAATCCTTTTCTGAGTACACAGTTCCGACACTCCATTTTCGATATATAAGCGATTAAACTTTGGATCCCACCGTCAAATAGAGTTGATAGCCTGTTTCCATTACAAACCCGACTATCCCTGTCCCCAAGATATAAGCGATTAAAGTTTTGACCCTATCGCCAGGTAGACCTATCACAATCTCTCTTTGAGTACCTCATTCTGTCACATAGCTTTCGAAATATACAGAGTGTAACATGTAACACTCTTCGGATCATAATTTCTTTAATATAAAAGATACCGAAAAAGATGTTGGAGTCAAATTGTACACAATTACCGTCACCATGTTTCTAAAATAGTTTTAATTACCCGTGGCTGTGGTGGGCTGTGTTCCAGTGGTGTATTAAACGTGGGTTTTTTGTTAAATGGAACACATTTTATTGCAGATTTGGAAAGTACTTACTTTAGGGATTGAACTACCAGAACGGCATTGAAAATGACACATGACAAAACTAAGAGGATAAACCGTGTAATTGCATTAGTTAATAACTATATTAATTAACGTTATTTGATATAGTGGAAAACCTTGGACAGCTCATATACGAGGTAAAACAGTGATGATCGTGATGGTCACTTCGAATTTTTGGCCGTTTCCATGCAGGAAAAACGCCGGTTACTAATTTAATTAAAATACAAACGATTACACAATCTTCTTGATTTTGGTATACCAATATCATTGAATTTGCACGATATCAACAGCCTTGCGCTAGTTGTTTCTATGATTTTTTTTTAATTTGAAATATCTAGCCGTATGATGTTTTAAACACATCAATGGTAACATCCTTAGACAAGAAAAGAATAGTAACATCAGTGTGAACATTCGATTCAAAAGCATTCTTGAAATTTTTTCGAGGTATTTGGCAATTGAGGGTGTTTCTCGGAATTTAACTTTTACTTGCCAGTTTAATGCAACACCATGTGGCATTTGTTGCTAAGCCTGGTAATTGGGTTTTAAACAAACAGTTCACATGCACACCCATTTTAATGGAGTGAGGTTTTTTCCCTAGGTATTCTAATTAAATTGCGTTAATTACGAATGGATGTGTTTAGTCAATATTAGATGAAAATCGGTTTCTTTTCTTTTTTGTAAAAAGTTAACACATGGTTAATCACTTCCACAAACGAATGCATAAAAAAGATAAAAGTATTTGTAGAAAGAGAGGGAACCTCGCGAGCGGTTGTGGTTACGATATGACGTCATTGGTTGTAAATCAAAAATGCTTGGTCCTTCAAAACCCGCATTTAAATATAGAGTTCGGTGCCGACCAGTTTGTCTGAAAATGGCGCATAAAGCATATTTAACTCGCAGAGAAGTATTAGCAGCTTGCCATCGCCTGCACAGGTATATCCATCATGGAATGTAACACTTAATCACTAACTGCTTATAGTCCTAAGCTATCCAATGAAGAAAATCGTGCTGTTTTCGGTAAATGTAATCACCCTAACGGCCACGGACACAACTATGTGGGTACGTAATCATCACAAATCAATTGAGAACTAGATACTCAATTTTATAAATTCATTAGTTGAAGTAACTCTACATGGAGAAGTAAACCCAAAAACGGGCATGTTGATGAACGTCACATGTTTAAAGGAGTACATGAAATCCGCAATTATGGATACAATGGATCATAAAAATCTAGATATCGATGTTCCATACTTTCATGATCATCCTAGTACCGCAGAACATGTTGCAATTTATATATGGCAGAATATGAAGAAGTACATGGATGACCCGAGTCTGTTATATGAAGTGAAGGTATTTGAAACTGAAAACAACATAGTGCTATATAGAGGAGAATAAATACTTTTTGCTCTTAATACTGTCTTTATTAATGTGTTATAAATAATGGAATAAAGTAAGTGTTATGATAGACCACATCCTTCCTGAAATAGTCTACATCAAATTAGTTTCCATAATTGCTGCGCTTTTAGTAGATCGTCCAATATCACTACTTAGTCAACGCATTGTAATATCTGAGTAATCTTAACGACGAAAAATATGAGACAAAAACTGAACTGAACTTTGAAGCACTCTGTATACAGAATGTAATGAGTACTTTTAATTAGATTGTAACTTCTCACATTGATTGCCCAAAAATGGTATTGTTCAAATGATTTAAAGTTCCTCAGGCAATACCTTTCTCTGAAGAGACGAGGAGTTTAGTAAAACTCTAAGTGTGCTTTATTAAGCGGCAGGGCAAAGCGATGCAAGCTTTAAGGTACTTTTACACTATCATACTTCTCATGTGATTTGTCATATGGTAAGTAACAAGCATTTAGATTTGTGTTTACACTAAGTATACTATTTTTGGTATTATGGCTGTCATAAGACAAATCATAAGGAAATAATATGGAAATAATACGTAAATAGTGGAATAGGGATGTTTCTATTTCTGCATGACAAATGACATGATTTATTAAGGATCCTCAGATCCTTTATAGTTTTGTATTGTCGTCCGTCCGTCCGTCCGTCCGTCCGTCCGTGTGCGCTCTAACTCTTTTTAAAAGTGGCCGATTGTGTTGAAATTTGGTATACGGGTACTTTGGACATTAAGGACGGTCGCTATTGATTTTCGGGAAGCTGGTTCAACAGGAACAAAAGTTAGAGGGCTTCAAGTGAATCGGGAACAGGAAAAACTGCAGACTCAATATAATAGAAATCAAAATATTTCATTCCCTAGCTCATGTATCGAGTTCGGACTTTCGCTAGATTATTCCCTATGACTCTTAGATGTGTAACAATTCAATATAACTCGTCTCTGTGGTCTAGGTCAAAAGTTTTAGAGCAAAATGTACTCAAGATTATTTTTTACACATGAATTTGGAGTTTTAAAGGTTTTCAAACGCATTATCTTGATGCTGAAAGAATATATCACGTGCACATTTGATAACCGCATGTGTGTGATTAAAAAATGTTAAATTATTTTTCTGAGGCCACATGGTTTTTTGATCAAAATATGTCAAAATCGTTATTTATGCACCAAGATCATTGGGAAAAAGACTAGGGGCTTTATCTCAATACCCAAGATATGAATTTGATCCATTTTTGGTGACCACGTGGATTTTGATCAAAACATGTCAAAATCGTTATTTATGGACCAAGATCGTTGAGAAAAAGACTTGAGGCATTATCTCAATGCTCAAGACACAAATTTGATGCATTTCTGGTCACCACATGGATTTTGATCAAAACATGTCAAAATCGTTATTTATGCACCAAGATCGTTGGGAAAAAGATCAAGAGCATTATCTCAATGACCTAAACATGAATTTGATCTATTTTTATCGGCCACATGGATTTTGATCAAAACATGTCAAAATCGTTATTTATGCACCAAGATCGTTGAGAAAAAGACCAAGAGCATTATCTCAATGACCAAAACATGAAATTGATCTATTTCTGGCGACCACATAGATTTTGATCAAAATATGTCAAAATCGTTATTTATGCACCTAGATCGTTGGAAAAAAGACCAACAGCATTATCTCAATGATCATGAATTTGATCAATTTTTGTCGACCATGTGGCATTTGATCAAAATATGTCAAAATCGTTATTTATGCACCTAGATCGTTGGAAAAAAGACCAAGAGCATTATCTCAATGATCAAAACATGAATTTGATCATTTTTGTCCACCATGTGGCATTTGATCAAAACATGTCAAAATCGTTATTTATTCACCAAGATGGTTGGAAAAATGACCAAGAGCCATTATCTTAATGCCCAAGGCATGAATATTATGCATTTTTAGGGACCACATGGATTTTGATCAAAACATGTCGAAATCGTTATTAAGGATCCTCAGATCCTTTATAGTTTTGTATTGTCGTCCGTCCGTCCGTCCGTCCGTCCGTCCGTGTGCGCTCTAACTCTTTTTAAAAGTGGCCGATTGAGTTGAAATTTGGTGTACGGGTTCTTTGGACATTAAGGACGGACGCTATTAATTTTCAGGAAGCTGGTTCAATAGGAACAAAAGTTATAGGACTTCGAGTGAATCGGGAACAGGAAAAACTACGGGCTCAATATAATAGAAATCAACATATTTCATTCCCTAGGTCATGTATCGGCTTGGGACTTCCGCTAGATTATTCCCTATGACTCTTAGATGTGTAATACTTTAATATAACTCTTCTCTGTGGTATAGGTCGAAAGTTTTAGAGCAAAATGTAGCCAAAATTACACTTTATACATGAATTTAGAGTTTTAAAAGGTTTCAAACGCATTATCTTGATGCAGCAAGAGTACATCACGTGCACATTTGATAACCGCATGTGTGTGATTCAAAAATGTTAAATTATTGCCATATGGGTTTTGATCAAAATAATCAAAATCGTAAAAAGACTAGGGGCATTATCTCAATGCTCAAGACATAAATTTGATGCATTTCTGGCGACCACATGGATTTTGATCAAAACATGTCAAAATCGTTATTTATGCACCAATATCGTTGGGAAAAAGACTAAGAGCATCATCTCAATGACCAAAACATGAATTTGATCTATTTTTGGCGACCACATGAATTTTGATCAAAACATGTCAAAATCGTTTATTTATGCACCAAGAACGTTGGGAAAAAGACCAAGAGCATTATCTCAATGATCAAAACATGAATTTGATCTATTTTTGGCGACCACATGAATTTTGATCAAAACAAGATTAAGAGCATTATCTCAATGGCCAAGACATGAATTTGATGTATTTTGTAACATTAAAATAAATTATCGTTAAAAGTTATTGTGATACTGAGGATCCTTCGATATTTCGTTGTATCGGTTTATTTTAAATATCCAAGTGATCCCGCTCATCCTTAATGTCGACCAAGGGGACGACTCTGTTTGCTTTGTTAATGAAACGCATAACGGAGAAATTATTTTTAAAATAATTGTTAAACTTTTTTCGTTAAAAATGTACTATGATTTTTGAGGCACTTTAGAAGTGCACCTATTTGTGCTTTACAGGTGATTTTTTTGAGTTCTAAGTTAGCCTGAAGGTACTTTTTTTGTTGAATACTTATTGTGATAATTAGCGATTTATTTTAATACAGAAGTTAACCGCACAAAATTGCTTATTTGTCAATTTATTTAAAATTTTGCGGGATCCCGCAAATACCGGGTTCCCGCGGGATTAACATCTAACGATCCCGCAAATACCGGGATTGAGATTTTGTTGCGGGATTGCATTCCCTAGCTGTAACTTTTGAACTAGTAGCCCAATCTTGGAACTGTTTGAAATTATGGATTCTACAGGCCACGTTCTATAAGAAAAATTTTTTTCCGGGTCGATCTGAGACAATTTTTTTTTCGGGGCAAAAAAAAAGCAGTGTACAACCTTCCTTTTTTACCAAAAATCGACTGCACCAAAATTTCTCGGGAAAACACTTTTTCTTATTAATTTTGGTGCGTAGAATCCCAAACAATTCGTACTTTTTCGATCAGACTTCTCAATCAAAAGTTATAGACTAGAAACCAATTTCGAAAGAAAATTCAAAGGGCTGTAACTTTTGAACTAGTATGAATCTTGGAACTTGGAACATTTTAATTTAGAGAAGTTATATAGGTTTCGTAACTTCTTGTATTAAAGTCATATAAAAACCTGTCAAGTGTAAAGTAAAACATTAAAACCATTGAATAAAAAGTGTTTTTATTCAATGTTAAAACTCATACGAAAAATACAGGGTGATTCCTATAGTACCTGCCACCGTTTGGGAGCGTATAGGGGGTGCCTAGGGGAGTATTTTGATATAGGACACTTGGGGTCAGAAATCTAAAATAAGGGCGCCAGAACCAAATTTATCTTCTGGAATTTCACGCCTGTATGTAGGCAACCCAACCGACCGACGTTTCGCGCGGAGCGAGTTAGCGCGAGGAAGCGACATGGGAGGGAAGGAGGGAAAACGACAGTCAAAAGCAATAACGTTTACAAGTGTTCAACGTGGCCACCGTTGTTCTCAATGCACTTCCTACATCTAGCCAACTATTATTATACTATTGCCATATGTTTATTCACTTGATACGCGTCGTTGCAGACGGGATTTCGTGGGTTTAAACAAAATTCTGATCAAGTGTCAGCCACACATCGCCGCCTGAGATCGCTCCGTGTGCACCGCCGGCCGTTTGGGTTGCCTACCTACAGGCGCGAAATTCCAGAAGGTAAATTTGGCTCTGGCACCCTTATTTTAGATTTCCGACCCCAAGTGTCCTATATCAAAATACTCCCCTACGCACCACCTACACGCTCCCAAACGGTGGCAGGTACTATAGGAATCACCCTGTATGTCGGTAGTAAATATCATATAACATATCATATAAAAAAATCATGTGAGATATATTATAGTGTAAAGGTACCTTTATAGGGGAGTCGATGGTGTCCGTCTGTCCGTCCGTGAACACGATAACTGTCAAACGCTTGGACCGAGTTGGTTCAAACTTTTCACATTTGACCTATATGTCACAAGTAATAAGCCTATTGAAAATGGGTCAAATGCAATGACCCCTTGGGGTCACGCCTTTCTGTGTCTACCAAACGCTTGAACCTATTCAGTTCAAACTTTGGGCAGTTGACCTATATACCACATGTAGTAAGCCTATTAAAAATGGGTCATAACTCCGTGGGGTCACGCTTCTCTGTCCCTGCCAAACGCTATAACCTAGTCGGTTGAAACTTTGCACAGTAGACTGATATGCCACATGTAACAAGTCTATTAAAAATGAGTCAAATCCAATCACCCCGTAGGCTCTCTCACCGAGGTGCTCTGCCGCTTTTTTAGATGCTCTAAGCTCTTTATTACAACGCCAAAATCTCTTTTTTAATAGCCTGATTTTTAAATCTTTATTGAATAAGCAGTTAAAATTAGGTATGGGGGAAATATT